TATTTTCTGATTCTATGAAACAGAAAAAGCAGGTCAAGAAAAATACGGTTTGCTTGGAGCGATTTTGTTACATGTTAGGTCTTCTGTTATCCAGTCATAGGATCAGATTCTTCATACATTAAGTATGTCAAAGTAGAGTCTCCAGAAGTACGTGGTTCGGCTCCCTTTGAACAGTTGCGTATGGTAAAGGACCTATAATAGAGGAAACTCGAATTGGGGATAATAACAGATTCTATTTTCCCACAATTTGCAATTTGGAAAGATGAATGATCTTGTATCGCTCCATTAAAACTTTCATCACCGATTGTGATCGATTGTAGGTTCGGCAAACTATTGATTTCAAACTGCTCCGTATTCCAGAAACTCGAGGGACCGATTTCGAAAACAGACAATTTCGTTAAATGAAGTGATTCTAAATAGCACGTTGGCAGCAAAAGAAGTACCATCTAACACCAGGCGAGGCGATTGGAAGTTGAATCCCTGGAGGACGATCCGCTCTAAAGAAGGACATTCTCGAATCTCAAATTCATCAGAATACTGAGAAAATGACTTTCTCCCAATAGAAACAGAGCTCAGCTGAGTACATTTGGAAATGCTGAATCGATAGCCACTCTGACTAGATAAACCCTCAAAACTATTGTCTCCTATTTGAATCTCCTTCAACTTCGGTAAAGTATTCAATACAAAGGAATTTACAAATTGGAAGCTGTTACTCTCGATCTGTAAAGAAACTAAGCCAAAATAGTTTTGAATTGCGAAGCTCGTTTGATTCATAGTATTACAAGCATCTTTCCCAACATAGAACACTTCAGTATTATTTTTAATACGTGGAACATCGTAACAATATTCAGCGACAGGAAAACTCGGCAAAGGCCTCCAATGATAAACAAATATTATGGAAAGAAGAGTACAGACAATACAAACTACGATCAACTCCTCGAATTCACACCTACGACTAATACTCTCCCTCAAGCAGTATTTTTTATTTATCTAAAAAGTAGTCAATAGAGTGTGCAGTTTACCGATTTCTCTTCGATGCTATCCATTTGTAAGATATCTGCTTTTCCAATAATAGGACTTATTCTTGTTATGTGTCAAATCCTCTTTTTTCCAAATTGAACAATTCTCGTCTCTATTTCTTATAGAATATTAGCCTGCATCGCGTGAAAGCAAACAATACCAACAGAAAACCTTTTCTTGTGAGATCCAGCTGTTTCAATGGAGATAACTCACAGTCGGGATGTATTATCATGTGGTAGTTCAGGGACAAAGAAGGGGATAGCCATGTTGTTGTTTCTTTCACTACGTTCATTCTGTTTCTATAGACAGATCCAGTCTACTGTGTTCTATTGCTATATAGTGTTTCAACAAAAGGTTGTGTTTGAACTATTCCGTTTTGTAACAGCTACAAATGAATGACATTCATGATATAAAATAAGTAGTAAAATGGCTGGGTGGAAATGAGCTTAGTTAAGGAACACTCATCAAAACCACTGGATAACTTGCTTCGATACTGCTGCATACTATTTCTAGAAATATATGCCAAAATATATATATCGATAAAGAAGATAATATGAGAGATGAAATAAAAACGGCAGAAAGGATTTTGGAAACAAGCTCATTTTATGCTCTCCAGATTTGTATTACGTACTGTAACCATTACAGATCCTGTTTCCCTTAGTTTTCTACTGCAATGCCTCGAGCTCTTGTTGCTGTTTCTGAAGGATCCGAAGAATTGGAAACCATTGGTATCGTCGACGTGCTACGACGTGGAAAGGTGAATGTTACACTTGCATCCGTGGATCATCAAAAAACTGTCAAATGTAGCAAGGGAACGATAATAGTAGATATTTTGTTTCTATTTGATTTTCGTAGACTGCGGATGCTCTGCTGAAAGATGTAAAAGACGAAACCTTTGATGCCATTGTTTTGCCGGGTGGTCTTCCTGGAGCAGTAGGTTTCTGTCGTTTTTGCCTGTTGTAGGAACATCTCCGTGATAGTAAGACGCTTTCCAAGCTTTTAGAAAAACAGAAGGAAGAAGGACGCATTTATGCTGCCATCTGTGCCTCTCCCGCTGTTGTCTTTGCTGTATTGGTCACTCGAATCTTCTTTCCTAGTCTCATAATCTCTTGGAGGGTGTAAAGGCAACCTGCTATCCTGTTCTTTCCTTGTGTCCCGTTAACTGTAGAGCTTTAAGGAAGATATCGAGCACTATGTGAACGACAAAGTGGTCGTTTCTGGGAACTGCAGTTTGCGTTCCTTTCAGTTTCTACTCCCTAGTCACATCCCAAGGTCCCGGAACTGTCGCAGAATTCGCTCTTCAACTCGTGGAGTCGCTTTGTGGGAAAGCGACGCGTGCCTCTGTAGCCAAGGGCATGATTTACAATTCGTGTGTTTGAGGAAAACAAACGAGGATGGATACAAGACCTTCTTTACCGCAGATCCCGACAGCTAGATCCAAATCGCGAACCATCCCTACATTGAACACTTCCTTCATCACACGCTGAATCACCGTGCGTGACACGCCTTCCGCTCGAAGCACGTCCATGCATTTCATTGCTTTCTCGTCTACGACCGAAGCGATCTTTGGGTGGCGATTGGAGTATTCTCGCTTCCCTTCCACAACCAGAGTGTATTCTCCCTTCAGAACCAGCTTCTCTCCATCTACATTGCCGATCGTCGTGTGCTCGATCGATTCGTGAACCTTCGTTAGCTCTCTGCAAATGCACACACGACGATCCTCCTCCAAGTACCCTTTCAACTCGTTCATTGTCGATACAATGCGATGGGGAGATTCGTACAGAATGGACGCATACCTGCTTCCAGAGATCTCCTCAAGTCTACAACAAAGATGGAGCAAGCTTTTACACTTCACAGCGAGCTTTCCCACTACGACTGATAAACCCGTAAAAACTGAAAGGGGTGGAGTAAAATCCACTGCAAATCAGAGCGCAAATCGCTGCGTTCGCTCCGGGAATAGGCGTCACGCGGAACTTGCCCTCCACACACGTCTTCACTACAAGAGACCCAGGATCCGATAGCAAGGGAGTTCCTGCATCGCTGGCAATTGCCACAGATTTGCCCTGTTGCAGTTGGGAGAGAACGAACGAAAGACGAGCTTGCTCATTCTCCTGGTTCAACGATATCAATTCACGCCGGATTCCAAAACTAGTCCGTCACTTGCTAGCGAAAATGAAACCGAGATAACAAAAAAGCTGTAGTTCGCGTATCTTCACACAGAACAACGTCCGATTCTTTTAGCACACTCAGTACGCGATCGCTGATATCACTCAAACAACCGATGGGCGTGCTCACGAGATGTCTAGATAGAACCTGACTGAACGATGACTACAGTGTCCCTGGAGATACGAAACAAGGCTTTTCACAGGAAGCAGACAGAAATCGATGAAAAGCCTGTTGCTGCTTCCATAGGAACCGGATACGTTGTGGATATTGTATAGATCGAGCAACAAACATCAAAATGACATTAAAAATACATACACTACCAATGCGAAAGTGAATAGTGTGTTGGTACATATTCATTTTCGTGAGTCGGGGAGCATTCCTCTGTTGAGCAGTATCCCTCGTCAAATCCAATGCACTACGATTCATTCTGCACCTTCAAACAAACTAAATGATATCCCTTCGAATTGTCACTCGAATAGAATTGCCCAGGACCCGGACTTTTAGACTCACGTTCGGACTTGCTATCAACCAGTCCTTTAAGAACGGAGAGAGAAACGCACTCTGAAGCTGGGAGTGATTTGGAGGTCAAGATGCACTGGGTTTTGGGAAGGGTCACGATCTACTTGGCACTCCACTAACAGCGTCTACCGAGGATTGGGAAATAACCTGCACCTCCTTTTCCGAGGAGGAGGCCATTTGGAGGATTGTTCCCTTTTCGAATGCAGAAGAGTTCGCTATTATCTCCACGAAGCAAATTGAATCCACACACTTCGAAGAGCAGCCAACCACAGTTTCCTACTTTCCATTCCTCCTCAGTCGCTCCAGTTCCTTCGTCCTACTCCTTACACTCTTTCTCTTACCAACTACGCCCTCCCATCTACATCAATTACGCTCAGAAATGTGTACCGGAGACAAATCGATTTTCGTAAACTTCGACGTGAGTCAGAATTGACAGATGAATTCGACAGTTTCCTGTTCTTATTGCTCTTCTTCTCCTCCAGCAACTCTACGTACGAAGAGGGAACCCAGCCGACCTAAGATTTCACACACACCCAGTTATCGCACTTTTGTCTTCAGCGAGCACAAGATCCAGCTATCAGAAAGAGAACCGCCATTCCAGAGGATAATATTTCCTGCTTGAACAGAAAGTTGGTTTGTGTCTGTTCCGGTGAAGTCATATAGTACCTATTGCATTACCCTGATACAAGCATTCAATACGCGGAGTTTCCCTTTCACCTCTATCATTTCCTGCTAAAAGTGTGAAACAAACACGTCATGCAGACCAAACATGAATCAATCCTGCTCGTGTGCCTATCTGTGAATGGCTATTCCCACTTGGACCTGTGTACAGCTTGTCGCGTTCAAAATCAAAGAACAATCCACTGACGTCCTCCAGTCCGTAGTTATCCGAGGGGTTCATCGAGCGACTGTCGCGGAAGAACAAGTGTTCTCCTGTCAGCAGGTCAAACATGTCGATCTTTCCTGTACGAAGGCGGTCGTTGTAATAGCACACCAAGATGTCCTGCGTCTCCGAGATAAACGCGATATTCTCGTAGGTGTTGTCTGCATAGGGATAGCTCTTCTCCAATCTCCTAATCACCCGACCCATGGCTGTACGAGGCTTTTCTCGCGAGATGGCGATCGTAAATATCGATGGAGGTCTTGGAGAACACGAGGAAGAGCTCCTGGTAGTTCAGAAACACGATCAATTTGGAGTCGAAGCCTTGAGGCGGAGCTAGATTCACGATTCGATTGTGAACCATCTAGGGATGGGATGTGCTGCGGAGGTGGGCTACGCTGTAGATAACGAGACGGTGATCTCGCTGCTTGATGAAAATGTACTCTTCGAAAACCTCCAGAAACTCCACCTCGTTGGTGCTGTGAAGGAAGAAGTTGGCTCGGTAGATGATTTCGCCTGTGTGGAGAGCGAGTACCATGATGGGCATCACCAATAAGTCGCCTGTGGGAATGAAGTGCGCTTCCTGCGCCACCAGAATCATCCCCTTTCTATCGTTAACTCGCACGAACCGCATCGACCCCACGCGCACTTCCTGGATTCTTTCATCGGAGATCGAGTAGAGGAAGGAATAGTCCCGCTGTCTCCATACCTTGTATTCGCTTTGTATTACACCGATGTGTTGTTTGTACTGCTTCGAGGCACAGAAGGTGATGATGACTTCGTTGTATTCGTCAAACTCAAAATAGCTCGGAGATGTGAAATAGTCGTCCTGAAAGAGAAGCGTTCCTTCGCTCAAGTCGCGCTGGTCGATCATTCTTTGGATTAGAGTTTAACGCAAAGTCAACTCCGCTGTCACACTGCGACATTGTAGAACGTTCTTTCCATCCACACAATGGTACGACACGATGATCAGCTGGTCATTCAAGTGATTCACGAAAACTGTTTGAATGATATCGAACTTGGAGGGGTTTAGAAACATGTGGCGACGATAGGATCGACAGTCATACGCTTGGCACGCCCCTTTCCGAGAAAGAACAATCAAATACTCGTGGAACTGAACGATGTCACACACGCGAGAACGGCTGCAGAGAGGAGTACCGTAGAAAAACCGAATATACTCAGAATCGATGGTGTCAACTAGAATCTATCTTTTGATTTGTTCTGCTTATCCGTACCTTCGCATGCAGTCGATCGAGAGTATGGGTCGACGGATATATCACATGTGTGGGACAGAAATACAGCTTTCTTTGAAATACTTGGTCCACCAAACTGACCTTCGCTTGTTCTCTACTGTTTGGTTCTGTGTAGAATAGCGAGTCGAATGCAAATATGTCTTCTTCTTCCTCCATTATTGAAACTTGTCAAAAAATAGTTGGAGGGAAAAGTTGGAAAACAAACCACTCCAATACTGGCGATTATTCAAAGTGAAAACAAGGCTAGTAGAATATTCTCCAATATTCACGGTCAATATTCTATCTGTATATGCTTGAACAAACAAACAAACAAACAAACAAACCAGCAAGGCTCATTATAACAGGAACGAAAAGGATCCTCGAAATATTCTTTTGGGAACAAATTACACTTCCCATTCACTCTATAGGAATTCGCTGAGAGAGGGAGAACAACAAAGCAATATCAAAACCATCCAAGTAGTTTTTTAGAGAGTAGCACCTTTTCTATTTCCATTCCCATCACTCATATTCAAATCTAAATCATCCACTCCATAATCAAAGCTCAGAAAACTATTCTATTTTCTCAATTATGGCGTCTCGCAATGATTCTGGGTTTCAGCGATTCAAGACAGAAATTGGGAGTAGTATAATCAAACAACAAGTGTCTCTCGATATTGGTAATTAGAATATGTTGCATGGATATTTCTCTAGATATAGAAAATAAATGCATTAATGGATGCACAAATATTTGTCTTGTGCCTCATTTCAGCACTCTTCGCGATATTCGACTCAATTGCCGTCAGTGTGAGGTTCTGTCAGTGCATGTAAACAATGTATGAATTGGATAGTGGGAAGTCTAACGCGTTAGGTTCCAGCGCGCTTTTCTTACTTTGATTACATGGACAAGGTGGTGTATGACACAGTACGTGATTTAAAATCATACTATACAATGCTTCGTGGTGGGTTGGCAATATCCTTTTGTTGATACTATTTTCTGGTTTCTTGACTTGAACGCATCGAAGGACGGCGAGTTGATAATCGAGATACCCCAAAGTGTGAAACTGACGTTAATGAACCGTGGAAGTTATATGGGGCTGGTGAATCGTCTAAACCTAGAAGAAGAGCAAAGTCGTGAGTACGACTCTTCGAAAGATCACATTGTTATTGAGCAGTATTCCAGCACAAACGAGGCCGAATCGTTGCGTTCCATTCCTGGTTTCAAGTTGCCTCCCAGCGATCACAAAGTGTGGAGTGGCGTGTACCAGCACAACCCTCTGGAGATCCAGATCCGCTACACACTGAAGAATCCTGAAGTTGGAATCTTTTTTCGCACGGACCCCACTCCGCACGTGTATTCGTGGAGTTCGTTTTTCTCTGGCAAGCAGGAGGAAAGTCTCTGTAACGGAGTGAGAACGTGGGTGCCGTGCATCGACAACGAGCTGGAGCGCTGTCTTTGGGAGCTGGAGATCATCGTTCCTTCGACCTTCTCTGTGTGGGCAAGCGGCAAGCTGGTAAAGAAAACACTGTAGGGCGAGGTCGCGTGTGCTCAGTAGAACGAAAGGCGATCAGAAAACCATCTTCCTCTTCTCCTCTCAAACGCCCATGTCCGCATCCTCGATCGGATTTGTGGCCGGCGAGTTCCACGAGCAAGTGAAGACGCACGAGAACCAAATCATCGCTGCGATTACGCGAGTCCATCACTACATGATCAACTATGGTAGTGTCCGATGGGCTGACTGATGGATAGCCGCGGCGACCGTCGACAAGGCAGTCAGTTTTCTCGATAGTATTATCATGAACGATTCGATTTTGCATTATAAGCTCATTCAGTCGACCGTTGTGGCGTTCGTAACCGATTCTCCAGAGCCCTACTCGGTCTCGTATGGACTGATTTTGATCAATCGCAATCAGCTGATCGGAGAGAAGGTACTCTGAATCGGTGGCTTTATCATGAGCAGGACTTCAGCCATATCCCCGAGTTTCATCATTTGATTTGTCTCTGTCTCGCCTTCCAGTACTATGGAATCTTGATCCAGCCGCTCACATGGTCGGATAGCTGGATTTGCATGGGAATCTCTTCTTTTCTGGGGATGAAGTTCATGGAGTATGCGTTCAACAAGGAAACGGCGGACTATTTAACGCTGCGATTTCGAGATGCTGCGTTTTTCATCGAGGATTTGATTGCTGGAATCTCGACGGACCAGGGAAATCGATCAACCATCATGAACAATCGTCCGTTGGCCGCGGGGAATGGCGCTGTATTCTCGAATTCCCCCTTTTTGACGCCTCTGTTCTTTGTGAAATCGCCGATCGTGATTTCTCTCATCTCGCAGCAGTGCGGTGAGAGCTACTTTTACCAGTTGCTTCACTCGATGATTCACACGTGCTATCAGCGATTAGAGGAACAGAGCGCGATTCATCAAGCCATCGTGATGCTGCTGCCTCTCTCGAAGCTTCTTGCCAAGGGGACGAACGACTCGAAGCCCAGCGATCTGTCCTCCTTTCGCTCCTCTCTGCAATGGATCGAAGGAAGTGTGCTCAGTCGCTCTTCTCTGGATATGCGTTTTCCTGAGCCTGCTTCCAAACGTGTCCGTACGATCGAAACTGCCCAGTCCGGAGCGGGTATGAAGAGCGAAGTGTCTCATTCTCAGAAGGATTATCCCAGTTGGCTTCGGTGAATTCTGCGCCGCATGTTCGGTTCCAGCAAGACATCGAGATGCCAAGAGATAACGTTTGTTTGGAGCGTGTGTGTGACGTAGACGAGCATCCGATCCCTCCTGTCCCTAGCAAACGGTTCTGGAGATGAGGACGAGCGATGTTGGTTTGCGCAAGCAGTCTGATGACTAGTGTCCATTGCTTCCTCTGTGACGGAGAGCATAAACTCGCATTTTGACATGTTTGGCAGTCGCGAGAAGCCTATCCAGACAACGAATCCTTACGATACTTGCGATGTGACGATGCTGGGAGAGAATGCGACGATTCCTTCTCTTTCGGGAATGAAGATTCCTATCTGTTATGCGAATGGAAAGATGCCACGCTGCGAGAATCGAGGTGGCGATTGTGGAAGTAGGTCGCAGCGGAGTTTTTTAATGTATCAGAGTGGGATCCAGACTTTGAGAACGTGAAGTATTTGAAAAACATCGTGACGAATCTATCCACAGAGTCGTTTATGTGTTTGATTTCGGATAACTTGTCGTTCCGAGACGATAATTTCCAAACGATTATGGTGGAGCGAAACGGGTATGATCGCTTCTATCTTCAGTTTTCGTTCCGAAAAACACAAAAGATATCGACCTTGCATCTGGAGCGACTGAACAAAGACTTTGTAAACAAGAACATTATTTCGATTGAGCGAACGGAGGGAACCGGAATCTACATGGAAATGCTGGACTTCACGAACAATGATCCCTACATCGATCACACGTATTCGCAGGCAAAATCGCACGTAATGCAGGATGGTGTTTGTGATTCGTAGAAGCAAGAGAACGATAAGAAAATGGATCAGACCATTTTCATTCGTCCCGATCCCTTGCATTCTTGGTACGCTTCTTTCATCGTGTGCCAGACGCTCCGAATGTGGATAAGCACCTTTGAGAAATGTCAGGATACGTTCGATCGCGTGCTGGCGCTGCGGTCGTTGATCTTTTTCCAGCAGCCCGCGAAGAAGAAGAAGTTTCAGGATAACAAGGAATACACCAAGCAGCACGCGTTCTACGATATTCTGATGGAGAAAATCAAGCAGGGCGAAAATATAAAGCTGGAGGACTTCTTCAAGAAGCGACTGAAAGACAAACTGAATGATCCAAAGAAGAAGCAAGCCTATCTGAATAAAGGCGAGCCTTGGAACGATTTGGTGATTCCTGAAGACTACAAAAAAGAGGCCAAGAAGAAGATGATGGAGAAGCATAAGAGCGTTAAGAGAGAGAGGAGCAAGCAGGATATTATTCCGGATATTGGGCCGATCGATGTGTTTGACGATGGAGTACACGAAGACTTTTTGTAAGGGATTATGGAATTCGGCCTACCTTGTAGAGGAATCCGACAGGAAGCGCTGCTGTCGTTCGTTCAGTGGCAACGTTGTTCGCCTGCAGACGAGCGCCCGGAAATGCAAGACAAGGGAAAGACCGATCTGATGAACTTCTTCAAAGTGTACCAGTACGACGATTCCAGCATTCGTCCTGTGATTTACGACGACGATGAATGCATGACCCGTCGAGGCATCATCACAAGTCTCGCTCTCATTCGAGATCATGACGAGTCGGAGTGAGTGGAAGCATTGAGGATTAGTTTTACCCCCAACGACATTCTCGACTTCCTTCTCGACCAGCTGCGCTCCCACGACTACGTTTCCTCTCCTTTGGTCTACGATGCGGACGAGGAATACATCGCTGCCCTGCTTTACTCGCTCGCCTCGGTGCAGACGCGAGCGATGTACGAGTGCATCTCGCATCTCGGCGACCTGCAAGGAGACAACTCGCTGGGAGAAAAGCAGCTGGAGCAATGCAACGAGGTGATTTCGAGCTTCTTTTCGTACCCTTCTCCGTCCTTCAAAGGAGCCGTTCTGGTCGCTGCACTCTATACAAAATCTGTGTTTGAAATGAGCGGTCGATTCCCCGTGTCGCCCATTTTCACTCACTACATCGAGCATTCGTATCCTGCGTAGACCTTTTTGTTTCCTCTATTGACTCTGTAGAGCGGTTCGCTGCGAAGCCTATCGTTGTTTGGTGCGTGTTCTTCTTCGAAAGGAGAACAATTCAAGGGAGTGGGTTTCCTCGTTCCTTTGGATTTTGAGTCACGCGCAAGCAGATCCGGACCCATCCGTTCCTGTCGCTTTCCTGGATTATCTCCTCAATCCAGAAGTGATGAACCCATTTGTCCCTATTTCGGAGTTCTATTTGAAGACAACGCGCATGCAGAAGCCGATTCTGCCTTCTTTTGAGGAAGGCAACACGGATGGCTTTCTGCTGGCCGAGAAGATTTGGGAACTGCTGGGATCTCGCAGTCGCTTCAATCCGCAGTTCCGAAAGCTGCTGTTTATATTGTACAAGCAGTTGTTTGGAGTGGGGAAACCGCAGGTGTATGGTCCGCAGACCCGAAGGTTTGGCATAAGCGATATTTCGTTTAGTGGAACGCAGTTAGAGCTTTATCCCGCCATGGTAAGAAAGGAAAGGAAGAGTGAGGGATAGATCAACACGATTTATATTAATAAAGGAAAGGAAACGCCGATTATTGAAAGAGAACGACGCATTGGTAGGGAAAGGGGAAAGAGTCAATGATAGATTCGCGACAATTCAAGAGCAGCTCGAATTCAATTCGGGTACGGTTTAATACGAGTAGTATTCATCGTTCTTGTTTTGTTTGTTGGATATAGTGGAGTTAGCGGGGATTGAGAAGAAGTCTTTTTTGCTTGGGATGGATGGAAAGTGAGAGAGTACATTTTTAACAAAAAAGCATGCATTAGATTTGATGTTGTTCTAAAGGAAATTAAGCCACTTTGCATATCAAGATGGGTACAACCATATGTCTACACCTTTCTTTCATGTTTTGTTTTCTATGTAGCCAACTCTAGACCTTGATACTCTTGTTCATTTTTATCAACAAAACACGTTTTGATTCCCTTTTTTATACTCTATTTCAGGCGGAGTCGGCACACGGTTGGTCTTCCATGTGCACAACTTAAAGGATCTCTGCACTTCTTCATCTCCGCTATTAATGACTCGCAGTCAGCCAGACTCAGCTTCGTATTAAATCGAACAGCATTCTTGCATGCCTAAAGACATATTATGTGCAGTATTCCTCCCATACACGTTGGGCAAGAAGTCGACGAATGGATGGAGGCGAATACAAGTGATATTGGTGTTCCGATACATGAAGAGAAGCAAGGAAGTCAATGTATTCCAGAAAGTCACTTCGGGTTGTAGCAAATCCATCAATTGCAGGCACTCTCTACAATGAAATATCCATATTGTTTTGACAGTGAGAAGAACAGTCGTTGGATTTTGAATCGCCACCTCATATTTCCAAAAGGATAGCAAAGATATGTAATGTTTCACTGTTTGGACTTGAAATGCGGATACTGCGCATGTTATGTGTACTGTTTTCTCAAAAACAATCTCTTTTCTATCCGTCAATAGCATTTCTAGGTAATAATCTAAATTCACTCTTTCGTGAGCTGCATGCTATGTGCTATTGAGTAAGAATAATAATGAACCTGATCGATGAGGTACAGAAAAGATGAAGAAGATAGGATTATAAAGCTATCAAACGCTTGTCCGCAGAGTCTACAGTTGTTTATTTCCTTTATATCATTAATCGGTTCTATAGAACATAGGCTTCTTGTTGTTGGTGTCTTTGTAATGCTTGCTGTCGATATTTTTGTGATGCTTGGTGTTGGTGTTGGCGTTGGCGTTGATGTCAGCATGTCTTGTCTGTAATAATGGATATGGAGATGGTTTTGTTCACTTGATTCGATCACCTCTACAAAATCCTTTGACATGAAGGAAGGAAGTGTTATTCCCGATAAAGAATGATCGATTGTGGAGGAAAGAGTTTGTGTAGGATCATTGATAAATATAAAAATGAATGGCTTTCTAAAAAGTCAACTACCACCCCGATTTGTACTGGGATGACATGAGATGAGGCGTCATTGAATGGCTCTGATTGTGATTTCTACAATTATCATGATCGAAAGAACATTGGTACTGGAAAAAGTAATTCCATGTTTTGTCAATCTCTTTAAAATTTGAATTGTTTACCCAGAGAAGAGGGAATGAATTGTAGTACACTGCTCTCTTAGGAAGATACGTTTGACTACAAACTAGAAATAAGAAGCGAGATAATAGCAGCAGTTACATGGGGATGAAATGTAAATGACTAGATTCCTCTCTTTGTACAATATCAAATCGCGAACTAAAGGGTAAACAGAGAGAATTGCGTTTTCTGGGGACGATTTGGAAGGGAATGAAACGATCATTTCGCTTGTATTGCTGTCAATTCTATAATGAATCCAAAATCGCTATTTTACAAAGAAAACGAACAAGAACAAAATGCAATGTGAAATCTTTGAATACAGTCGACGATATCTGTTATCCAGTTTTCATCATTCTTAACACAGAGCTCTCTGTTAAGGATCCACAGATTTGAAATAGGATATTCTTCTGGGGGAAAATATGTCTTCAGAGAGTGGAGAGATTGTAACAACGGTTCCTTTCCTAGGAGTATTCTTGGAAAGTGTTTGAATCACACCTTTTCGTAGTATCTAAGGAGAATCAACTTATTGTACCTACGATCGTCCTACCATGGCTCTCTTTGTTTTTCGAAGCAATACAAAGCTGAGCAACATAAGATAACGAGCAGTAAATGGCGATTTGCTCTTCATCAATTGCTCTTGAATCGTCCATGATAGATATCTCGTTTTGCTCCATGTTTGCAGACACTTGAATCGACGTAGATCCTCTCTTTATTGATAGAAAGAGTACTATGTAGTAGATTGCAGAGTTTGTTTACATGTGCTGAGAAGTGAATTATTCTGACCAAATCGATATCCAGACTGGATTTCATTGATGGTTTTCACACTAAGTCGATTCATTTTGAGGTAATAGCATTTCCCTCCATCATAGAACACTTATTCCATAAAAGTGCGTATTATGACTTCTCATGATCCCCTCTTTGGTAGAGTAATCATTTGAAGCAGTTTGTATAGCTCATTATTATACTCCCAATGATTTAGGCTTCTGTAGTGTGTATACGATTCCTATACATTGGTTGTCAACTATCGTGTAAAAATAGTTTTCATTTTTGCAACAGAGGGGATTTCGATGTATGAACTGTTTTCTTCCCTTCCCATCGATTTTCCCATAATCGCATAGTGCTTCAGTCCCTGATAATATATTTAATCTTTGTTCTGATATGTGAAGTGTAATTAACGAGAATTGTGTTACAATACTTGTAAACTATCAGAAATGTTGATGGTTGTAAAAATTACATATCCCTATAGACACGACAATCAGTGATTGTTACAATACCGTATCATTCATCACTCTTGAAAGTCCATTTCCCGAAATGACAATCAGCAGAATCCTCACGCAATTCCTCTATGATACACTGTACACTTTGTTATTTCCATGTACACGGTCAGTTTTTGCTTGAATGATGCAGATCATAGCAAACACGAGATACTTTGCTAAAGCGACTGTCCTACATTAGAGCACCACAACCACAAGCTAAAATAATCAAAAGTAGTTAATCACCTGCCATATCATCATGTACCTTTTATGACGGATTTCAAAATAGGACCCATCATGTGCATAGCTAATTGTACCTGTTGATAAAAAAACTAGATTCATCAATTTTGGTGGCATTCGTCAAACTGCTCGAGACGCCTCCTCCGATCGCACTCTACACCTTTTCATCATTTATTTCCATCTCCGTCGTTTCCATGCAAAACTTCAGTTTCATCAATTCAGCGATTGTGAAGTTATTCAATCGTTGATATTCATACATTATTTGTGTACAGTGTAAAAAACTATAATAATCATAAAGCAGTTATCGATGCATTCTTGCCTCCTTTTCATATTTTTTTTATTCGAATCCTAATATGTCGAACGCATCTGTTATGCATGTAACTGCCACTCCTGCCTATGCTCATCCTACGAATCCTGCTGATGAGGTGAAGGTGGCCTACACAGCTCCGCTTCCTACTGTTACTGCAATGTCAAGGACTCAGGCATCCATGGACAAACTTGGAATCGATGCAACTAAGATGGAAGTGGAAGAAGAGCTTAAATCCTATAATCTTGAAGTGACTGCCGAGAACTACATCGAGTCGTTCAAGAACTGCAAGGATTTCTCTAGTATGGAACAGTTGCGAAAGAAAGTCAATGAAGAGGAACATATGCTTCGTCGCGTCTATGCTAAGAAGGCTGCGCTGGCTGACAAGCCTCTGCTCAAGGAGAAATATCCTCTTTTGGTGCCTGTTTTTGGAAATGAGGATATTTTCGATTGTGTCGCGCTCAGCAAGGAGGAAAAGAATACTCCAAAGGCCTTCCCATTGGAGGGAAAAAGAAAGAGTGCTGGAACGCGATCCATTGTCGATCGAGCTGGCTTCGCCACAAACTGGAGAATTTTTAGTGAGAATCTTCTGACACTCGTTAATTGGGATAATGTGTTTGTTGCTGGAGGAGCAGTGCTCGCTTGTCTTCTTCCTCCTCCTCCTAAAGCTACCAAGAACTACAAGTGTCTTCGAAAGTACTTCCATGAAGATGTGTATGCTGGATCTGATATTGATCTCTTCCTTTATGGATTGAATGAAGAAGAGGGAAAGTAAGGATAATAGGGTTCGTTTTTGAACGATAGGAAAAAGTTGAATGAGATTTATGAGGCTGTGTGCAACGAGATTCCTTATACTGCGCTGGCATTCCGTTCTGCTTATGCCATCTCGATTGTTTCTCAGTTCCCTTATCGCCACATCCAAATTGTGCTTCGTCTCTATTCCTCGCCTGCGGAAATTCTGATGGGCTTTGATGTCGATTCCTGCTCCTGCGGATTTGATGGAAAGCAAGTGTACATGACTCCTCGTTGCCATCAGGCCTTGATCCGCCAGATGAATACAGTGGACATGACCCGTCGTTCTCCCACGTATGAGCTTCGCTTAGCCAAGTATGCGGACCGTGGATTTGAAGTGGAAGTTCCGATGCTGCAGCGAGAAAAGATCGATCCGATGATCTTTGAGAAGCCTTGGGATGAGGTGCGAGGATTGGCCAAGTTGCTGCTGCTGGAGAAGCTCCGAACGCCCGGTAAGTTGTAGTTGAAGGGAGTGATCGATAGAGGCTCGGTATGCGTATCGCCAGCGAACTGCAGGTCCGAATGCTAATTTCTCGTACAAGGTCGATTCAATGATGCGAGATCCCTATCTGAAAAAGCGTCTCGAGTTCTCTCCCGAGAAGGCGTCGGATTATTCCACCGTCTTCCTTCCTTGGGGTCCGTCCTGGAACGCCAAGCGAATCCGCAAGTTGATGATGACCAAGGATATCGTGCTGAACAGCGACTGGAGTGAGATTTACAACAACCGTGGATATCACACTCACCCCTGCTGGGTCGGCTCTCTGGAGGAAGTGATTAAAGATTGCTGTGGAGAGTGCCCTGAAATTCCTGCGTCTGTGGATCCTGAGACTTTGGAATGCTTCGTTCGCGGACCTCTTTCGTTCATTGTGGATGATCCGGGTCGCCAGTCGATCGGATCGTTCCATCCGATCACCGATGGAGATTGGACGGATGGCGCCTATTTGAGCAAGGATTCTGAAAAACTGACCGCAGCAGCGAATTGCGGAGACTTGGAGACGATCAAGGCCATTGTTCCCAATCTCTGTAAGGTCGATACTCCCGATGCGCTCGGACGAACTGCGCTGCATCTGGCAGTGCTCAGCAATCAGGTGGAAGCGGCCAAGCTGCTTTTGGACTTGGGTGCGGATGCTACGCTTCATCTGAAAGATGGACGTTCTGTGCTCCATATTGCTGCCGAATACGGATACATGGAGATGTTGGCTGTGCTGTTTGAGAAGCTGAAGCTGTCCAAGAAGGGAGAATCGAACTCGGAGGAGTCGGGAGAGGGAATGGACTTGGATGAGGTGAACAAGAACACACAGCTGTCTGCTCTTCACTATGCAGTTCTGTTTGGTCATGTGGATTGTGCGGAGTTTTTGCTGCAGAATGGAGCGACCTGCGATCGAATGATCTGGTCTGCTGACCACAATGTGGCGGTTTCTGTCATTTTGCTGGCAGCGCACTGCGAATACTTTAGCAAGCAGGTGTCTGTGGATCTGTATGAGCTGCTTCATCGTTATGGAGCTTCGCTGAAGTTGCTCGACAGTGGATTTAACAACGTCATGCATCAGTTGGCGAACTATAACTACATTCACTTTATGGAGTACATCTTGAAGCACGATCCCATTGCCAAGTCCTTATGTGAAGAAGTGAACTCGAGCTGCTTCACTCCCGCTTGTCTGGCCATGTACAATGGATACTACACGATGGCGAAGTTGATGATTGAAATGGGACTGCCTCTTCGTGCTTCGGAGAGTGCTGTGACTCTCACGAACAACCGGTAGGATTCGATGGAATGGATGAATGACGTGTAGAAGACGAAAGGATCGGAACGCGACTCGCTGGGGATTCACTCCTTTGGATGCCTCCAATGTGGCTCCTCCTCTCATTATGGTGGTCAATAACTCCAATGTGGATACGGAAGCCAGTTATAACTTCGTAAGTTTTCGAATTGGATTGTTATGTGTAGTTGAAATTCCTGGTGGAGCATGGCGAAGATGTGAATGAAGTCTGGAATAATTCCACAGTTTTGGATACCATTTTGTCCAAAGACCCGTTCAAGTCTTTGGAAGAAGTGAAGGAAGATATGGAGCACTCCAATACAACTAACAAGCTTCAGATCGATTTGTTGGAAAAGGAACTGAAGAAGTATCAGCCTGGCTCGTACGACTATCTCATGATGAAGGAAACTCTCGATATCACAAAGGCAGCCTCCAAAGCGAATCGAAAACTGACGACATGGAGATTGACCGAATTGAAGATGAGGACAGAATGGCCCAAGAAGGCTTATGAAATGATCGATAATCATGGAGGTATGATGTTCCTTGAGCTGAAGACTCTGAATCCTGACCTGGTTGGCACGCGTAAGTCGAATCGCAGACAGAACCGCATGTTCGGCGATCCATTTGGCAATGCACAATCCACTCCTGTCAAGTGTGTAACTATAAAAGGCAAGACCGTGTTGCGAGGCATGAATCGTATTGAGGCTCTGCGAGAGCAGCATGCAAAGGACCAAGAAAAGAACATGAAGCAAGTGCGTATTCAGAATTCAGGAGAACCAACTGTGAGGGGCATTAATCAGTTCACGATCTATTCTGAAGCGAGTAGTTACGGATATCGTAATAATGGAAATGCTTCCGAAAATGAAACCGAGTCCTACCACAATCTGTTCATCGCCGTCTATAATAGCGATTACGATACTGTGCGTCATCTCTGTACTCCGGACAGCAAGGGTCATTGCACCTTCGTGCTTTGCTGCGGATTGAATCGCTCACCTCTCTCGATTGCAGTGAATAAGGGAGATGTGGAGATGATAAAGCTGCTCTTTGAGCTGATGGCCATGCAGTATACTCCGATCACGATTCATCGTGAGCTCAATCAGACCGGTAAGGTGAGCAACTATGCGCTGGTTTGCGGAGACTATGAGGAAGAGCAGGCGTTCGTCGATCCAAACGCGGATCATTCGCTGATCGTGAACACTTGCGATGTCAATATCAACTTCTTGGAGAAGTACGACTTCGATATGACGGGCATTAAGGAGTATGTAACAGCCAAGAAGGAGAATCAGTCGAATCCTTATGGTTATGATAATGATTGGCAGTATGCAGATTCTGATTCGGACTCGGATTCCGATTCGGATTCTGAAATGGATGTGGAAGATTCTTCCGATATGTCTCAAGTGAAGAACCATGTGAAGGATCACACCGAGAACTGCCATATTCTGCAGTACCTCATCTATCGCAATGACATGGAGCTGCTGAAGCTGTTCCTGGATTGCATGAAGCAGCTGGGTGATACCGTGTTTGAGAAGGACTTGAAGGCGAACAAGGTGAAGCAGGACGAGCACAAGACGAAGTGGTTATTGAATGCTTTGTATGGTGTCGATGTAAATGCGAGCTCGTATTACTACTCGTATCGCAACAGCACTGCAGATATCATTAAGCCACTTATTATGAACGATAACGTTCCTATGATTCGTCTGCTGTTGCATTATACCTTCCTCGGACTGAACGTGTTGCGTGCGAAGGATGTGGAGCCTAAGAAGGATGTGGTGAAGCGTCGATTGGTGAATCATTACGATGATGATTCGGACTTTAGCGACTACAGTTACTCGGATGATTATGAGGACGAGGACGAGGAGAAGAAGGAGGAAATGAAGAAGGTGATGGAGGAGGAGAACGATAAGGAGCTGAATGAGGAAGGAAAGGTGGAAGAGGAGGAGGAAAGTGAATACGCCGATTCGGACGAGGAGGAAATGAAGGCTCTTCGTCAGTTCAAGCAGGAAGGCAAGGCGGAAGTTGATGAAAAGCGCAGCAATGCCATGCATCCCATCCTGATCGCACTGCGCTATGCGGCAGAGAAGTCCTTGTCCTACTTCTTGGATCCCGCCAAAATGAAGGAGGATTTGGAGATTCTGAAGCAGAGCAACGAGGATTTCTCGAAGTACTTCGAGGAGGCCGATGGAATCGACGCTGTGTACGAGCGTGTGTTCTCCTTGAAGTATGTGAAGAATGACTACCGCCTGCTGCTGGAGGCTGCGGCGATGACCGATGAGGAGAAAATCTTCAAGAAACTGGTGGAGACGCTGAAGGGCCAAAGCCTGGATATCGATAAGCTGGTGCATAGAAGCAAGTTCTACCCGTCGCTGATCGAGTTCTGTCTCTCGCATCGCTGCTACGTTGTGGGTCAGTATCTGCTGAAGACCTTCTCGTTCCGCGAGAAGGAAGTGACCGAGGCCTTCTGTAGCCTTTCCCAGACGGTGACCAATCTTCATGTGGATATTACGTCGGTGAGAACAGGCCACAGCCTTACGGTGTGCATGGGATGGAATTCCAGAGGCTCGAGCTCGAGTGATAATGGCATGATGACTTCTCTGTACATCTACAAGAGCTTCATGCAGCTGATCCAGCTCATTCCCAAGGAGTTCAAAGACAAGGTCTTGGACAAGATGATGTCGCAGGTCCTGACAATTAATCGCCCTGCCTTGGTTGAAAAGCTCGTCAAGGAAATCCCTGTGCAGCTGCAGCAGTTCGATGATATCGTGAAGAGCGTGATTGCCTCGAACAATGACACGGCGCTGGGTCTGCTGATCGATTGCATGGGACTGAAGGAGAAGCTGATGAAGGAGAACCCCAACGGATACACGATTGTGGAGCTGGTGATGACGAAGTACATCGAGGATATCATCAAGAACCAGAGAAATAACAAGAAAGAGCGCGAGGATGAGGAGGAGCGAAAGGAGCACACGAAGCTTGTGGAGGACGAGTTCATGAAGAAGACCCAGATGCAGGAGCTTGTTGATTTGTATCGCTTGATGAAGAACGGAACGGGCTCCAGCGCGAAGATGCTGCAGCTCGTGTTGGAAGCGAGCAATGGACAGCAGCGCGAGTTGACGACTCTGGAGGAAGTGCAGGATCGTGTGAAGAGAGATTCCGCCGATATTGCGGAGAATGATCTTGGTAAGAGACGACGTTGCCTGGGAAGAATGGGCAATTTCAATGTGAACTATGTTAACAATGGACGTATATCCATGTTGAGCGGCATGCCGAAGGCCGAACTCAAGAAAGAATAGAGAAGTCGTGATGAATCAGTAAATCCGTAAATGTATATGGTGTGTTTGTTGTTGCAAACAATGAATTGGTATAGTGTGTCGTCGCTCATTACTTCGACTTCTTGGGAAGGATCGCCTAGATCGATAGAAGGAAGGAAGAACGAAATCGTACTCGACTGACGAAGGTCTCTCCCAATTTCAACCCCTTCTTTACGAATGTGTAGAAGATGAGAGCGAAGGAAAGACTGATGAGAGCAAAGCACGTGCTATCTTTCATGCCCTCGGGGGCATAGCGAGAGATTCCATAGCACAAAGCCGACGTAGGAAGAAGAATGATCGTGGCGAATGCTCCCTACACTCAACCCACGCAAGCGCAGCCGTACCAGAGTGCTTCGCTTCTCTCTCAGAACCAATGAATCCGTCTCCTCATCGATCTTCACTAAGTTGAAGGTCAGGTTCAGACAGTCCTCGAAATAGCCGTCGCTGAAGTTGTTGTTCACATACCGAATGATGCTGTAGATTCCGTCGTTCACCGCACCCCGCGTCGTGCGTTTCCCCGTTCTATCTTCGATTCCGCGCCTCGCTCCTACCGCGTATAGTCCGTCTTCAAGGAATGAGAGCTGCTGTAGAGCATCGACATCTCGTCTGCATTGTCGCTCCACAGATTGTTGAACGCCTGCGTGAGGTCCTTCGAATCGGACAGCTCGCTACGCGTGAATCTCCAATCGACAGAGCTACGGTTTTTCCTTCTCCTTCGTCTCCTCTCCAGCCACCTGAGTCAACAGCATATTCTTGGCGAAGACGCTCTGCACGACGTTGGTGCCTACATTCAACGCCGTGTCTGCGCGTACGATCGAGACAGTCGATGCAATTTGTGCGAATCACCGCGGTCTGCAGGCTTCGAATCTTGCCGCCGTTGAGGTCCATGCTGAAAAATCTACTTGCAAGAACCGTGCAACGCCCACTCTCCTTGCTTCACCGGCGTCTCGGTCATCTCCACCAACTTCGCGATGTTTTCGTAGTGCATGTTCTTGCACTCCGCGTGGAAATCGAACCAGAAATAGTCCAGCTTCGCTGCGTTCTCGTCGCTAGCTCGAACGCTCCCCCAACGCCCTACTACTCCTTGCAAGCCGTTTCAAACGCCTCTCCGATCATCAGCTGGTCCTTCTTCTTGTCGATGAGATTCACCACGATCACGCGGCCGTACTTCTGAACCAGATGATCGAAATGGACGCTCAGAAGCGAGTGGTCCTAGCGAGTGAGCCATCGAATGGAAGGCGAACATCGTCCACGAGGATTTTGGGGTTGTATTTCATGTACGGATTCTGCGTCCACTGCAGAGGAATGCTACCACGGATCTAAGCGGAATCGCACGAACTCAGAGAGAACCTGAACGAAAGAAGAAACGATGCCGGAGTCGGTAGCGACGATCTGCTCGGTTTCCACGAAGTTCGCCACATGGCCTTCGGAGTCGATGCCTCGCGTGTTGAAGCGACGACCGTTACGGTAAATGCTGCGACGGGAAATCAGAGTGAGCGTGAATGGCGTGCCGTGGAGAGAGAGAGCGGGGATGATCTTCATGAAACCGAAGATGGTGATTGGAATCAGATCGCGAGGGAAGAAATGCTTGAATGGAGCGAGAGCACCAATAATGGGGGAGTTAAACATAAACATGGGGTCCATCGTTGTAGGGAAGAAGCGATCCTTGTCGTTGAGGCGCTCACATTGTGTATCTATATTGGATAATTCACCAGCAAGCACCTTGAAGACGTCTGGTAAGATCTTCGTGATGAGAATAGTACAAATTTGCAATCGACAAAACTTCCTCCAGCATAGAGATGTACCTGGTGTTTGCATACTCGTTATAAGCATTTGGCACCTTCACGAACTCCACCTTGTTGACCTACGTGGATCAAATGAAAAAAAGGAAGAGATACCTGGTACACAGGCTTTCCTGTGACTCCCTTTCCTATAACAGCACTCTCCGTGATTACCTCCAAGAAAAGTGCTAGAGGTCAGCAAGCAACACATCCATATACCCTTTGACAAAGAATACACACCCAGAATGCCATCAATGTTGATATCGGCAGAAAAAGGCTCTTCGCTATTGAACTTTTCAATCAACAACTTGCCTTCGTTGTCCGAGACTTTCAGAACAGACGGCTTTTCTAGGCATTAGTTTCTCCTCAATTCACTATTAACTCTCACTTGCCTGCATGTCCTTCACAAGGATGCAGTCCTCTTTTGTTTGTATACAAAAACGACTCATTCGTAAAGATGGTGAACAATGTGTGTCCTCTAAAAAACAAGTGCTGGAAATTGACAAAGTGGTGTGGTTCGAAAGTTGGATCTCAAAAATAACAGCAGGGAGTGATAGAGATAAAACAACGACACAGAATTCCCGCGAAATGCATTTTCGTTTCCCCTTTTTCCCCAGTTTCCACATTTATAGATACTATTCTTCCCCATTTTTTCTTAAAATCGCGTATTCACTTCTAAGAATGTCCGCTCTCATTCGTTCTGCGCCTAAAGCTGCTGCTGCTTCTCGTATCTTCCTCCGTGGAGCTGCTACTCGTACTGAGTCCGATTTGCTCGGAGAGCTCCAGGTCCCTGCTGACCACTACTACGGAGTCCAGACCATGCGTGGTTACCTGAGCTACGATATTACGGGAAAGAGACTTTATGACTTCCCCAACTACATCAAGGCTTACGGTATGGTGAAGAAGGCTGCTATCACCGCCAACAACCGCCTCGGTCTCGTTCCTGATGACAAGGCCAACGCCGTCAAGCAGGCTTGCGATGAAGTCATTTCTGGAAAGTGGAACTCTGAGTTCATCGTGGATATGATTCAGGGAGGTGCTGGTACTTCTACCAACATGAACACCAACGAGGTGATCACCAACCGCGCTCTGGAGATCATGGGTCATCCTCGTGGAGACTACGAGTTCATCAGCCCCAACGATATCGTGAACAAGTGCCAGTCCACGAACGATACCTATCCTAGCTCTGCTAAGCTGGGTATGTACCTGGACCACTTCGCCATGGTGGAGCAGATGCAGCTCCTGGTCGATTCCTTCGCCAAGAAGGCTGAGGAGTTCAAGGACGTGATGAAGATGGGTCGTACCCAGCTTCAGGATGGAGTGCCCATGACTCTGGGACAGGAGTTCCATGCCTACTCCACCACCCTTCAGGAGGATGTGGATCTGGTCAAGGAGGCCGCCAAGGTGTTCCTGACTGTGAACCTCGGAGGTACTGCCATTGGTACCGGAACTGCTGCTCACCCCGACTACTCTGCTGCCGCTGTGAAGGCTCTGCGTGAGATCACCGGTTTCGATATTAAGATCGCTCCCGATCTGATCAACGCTTCCTCCAACACCTCCGGTATGCTCTACTTCTCTGGAGTGCTCCGCCGCTGCGCCGTGAAGCTGTCCCAGATCTGCAACGATCTGCGTCTGCTGGCTTCTGGACCTCGCTGCGGTCTCCATGAGATCAACCTGCCTCCTCGCGCTCCTGGTAGCTCGATCATGCCCGGCAAGGTGAACCCTGTGATTCCCGAAGTGGTGAACCAGACCTGCTTCCAGATCATCGGAGGTGATCTGACCTGCTCGCTCGCCTCGGAGGCTGGTCAGCTGGAGCTGAACGTGATGGAGCCCGTGCTCATCTACAACCTGTTCAACAACATCAACATGTTCACTCGCGCCACCAAGACTCTGCGCACTCTCTGCGTCGATGGCATTACTGCTGATAAGGCTCAGTGCGAGAAGCTGCTGAACAACTCCATCGGTATTGTCACCGGTCTGCTGCCCTACATTGGCTACAAGAAGTGCTCGACTGCCGCCAAGATCGCCAACCAGACTGGAAAGTCTGTGAAGGACGTGCTGGTGGAGCAGGGCTTCTGCACCAAGCAGGAGGTCGAGGAGCTGCTGGTCCCTGAGAAGATGACCAAGCCCAACTACATTACCAAGAAGCACTAAATAATGAGTTTCGATGGGAATAAAGAACACAAAGATCCAATCATAGTTATATTTTTTAAGCATGGGTGTTTGTTGCCAATAATGTCCCGATTCTTGCTGATTTTCCCATGATTTATGGTGGAAACACAATTGTGGATTCTTTTATATTTATATTCATTCGATGGAGAACCCCGAGCAAACACAGAACGTGCCTCTTTTAGAGCAAAAGGAGGAGACAAAGACCAAGTTACCCTTCTGCATTTTCCTGCTCTGCAATGGAGCTGTTGGTAGGACTCTGAGGTTGGGATTTTGATGTGCAGGAGCAGGCATTTTGACTCTCACCTCCGCCGTAGGAAAAGTGGGCTGGGGTATGGGTCTCTGTCTGTACCTCTTCTTTGGCCGTAAGTGCGCGAAGATCGCAGGCTAACGTCTAGTGTTTGCTGGTTTCGCAAACATGATGCTTCAGAAAGTCTTCGATTACTCGAAAGAGAGTACCTACTCCGGAATTGCCAAGCATATGTATGGCAACTGGTTTGAGGTCTTTGTAGATGTGATTCAGGTGGGATAGAGGTCTCTGTACAATCCGTAGTTCCTTTATAGTGTGGGTACCTGCTGCGGTTACGCAATCATCATTGCGAACGAGCTCTACCTTAGCGTGTCTTTTATTACCGAAGGAAAGGTGGTTCCTGATAGTTTGGAGTTCCTGACCAATCGTACCTGGCTGCTCGTCATCGTTACGTTCTGTGTGATCCTCCCGCCTTCTCTGATGCGAAAAATCACCGCTCTGCGTTACACCTCGATGGTCGCCATCTCCGGCATCATCTACATCACCATCGTGATGCTGATCCGTGCTCTGGGCACGGACGCCTGCGGTCTGGCCGAAGTCGCCGACTTCTCGTGCAAGGCGGACAAGTGCATGATCGAGGCGGACGCTGCGCTCGCGAACTACACCGGCTTCGAGGAGTGCTCGCTCTACTGCGAGGGCTGCGAGCCGAGCCCGCTCCGCAGCGCGCTGCAGAGTTTCATCGTGAACAAGGACATCTTCGTGGTGCTCCCGATCTTCTGCTTCGGGCATTGCTCGCAAGTGCAGTTCATTCCGATCGTCAGCGAGATGGAGCGTCCCACGCGCAAGCGTGTGGGCGTGGTGGTGTTCTTCGCCTATCTGCTCATCCTGGTCCTTTATCTGCTCAATTCCTTCTCCGGCTATTTCGCTTTCTGCGGCTACTCCGCTTCGAACGTGCTGGATTCGTACCCCGCTCTGGATCCCTACATTCTGGTCGGGCGCCTCATCATCTCGTTCGCGTTGTGCTTCACCTTCCCGCTCTACGGCTACTCGGTGCGCGAGGTCATCGTGAAGACGTTCAAGCTGCAGAACACCAGTAGGACAGAGAGGGATGCGATGAGATGCAGAGTACTGGAAGCTCGCCTTGGTCACCGTGGTGATGGTGCTCTCCTGCATGACCGTGGCTATCTTCTTTAACGACCTGTCCACCGTGGTGGGAATCACTGGAGCCATCGGCGGCTCTTCGCTCATGGCCATCATTCCGTCGCTTCTTTACATTAAGTGGACGAAGGTCAGCGAGACGAAGTACAAGTGGATGCATTATACCGTTGCCTCTCTGTATCTCCTTATCGGCTTGGTCATGGCCTTTGTTGGAACTTATGTGACTCTTGTGTAATGATTCTGAAGATGGCTTGCGTTTGTTTGTTTGGAAAAATAGGGAGGAAGTATATTTAAGAGTGGTAAAAATCGTCTTGAAGAAAAAGGGTGGAAATAAGAAAGAAAGGTCGAATGAACTGTGAAGTGGAAGGAGAGAGCGAAATAAGGGAACTACGACACTAAAAAAGGATGGGGATGAAAAAGAAAGGTCAAAAAAATCGTGATACTTTCTCAATGTATGCGTGTCATCCTTGCGCAGGGACCATGCTAATCTTCTCTGTATCGTTCCAATTTTTCCAGATGACCTCCGAAGAGGTACCCAATACTAAGGTGAACCAGCGACTATTTAAGGAACGTCAAAATCGGAAAAATAATAGTTATGGGTTTACGATGTTTTCTCCTTTTTGGAATTTTTATTATATCTCGACTAAAAATTCGGAGGACTTCACAATCATAAAATAAAAATCGCTACATTGTTACCCATCTGTAAACACACAACATTATACCTCTTTAGGCTATGGTATTAGTATAATTCTGTTCATAGACCAGGAATCTTCCCTAATTGAGTCTCTACCATCCACGTTTTTCAAGAACGGGATCTAAAGTAATACTAGCCAGCCTTCTGTGTACTGATCGTTCAATACTCATAAATACTCGAAAACTGATTCCTTCCCTTAGATCACGACCAAAAAGGTGAGTATTTTTGGAATACAGATTTCTTAAAAGAATCGAACTATTGTAGTTTATCATATCTCAAGTGAACGTGAATGTATGGAATAGTGGATCTCGTTCCCAGTTAGATGAATAACGATGATTTGAAGCAATTGGCCGAATGGCTCAGAAAGTGCCAGCTGGAGAAGGCTGCCGAGGCTTTTGAACACTTTTTGTCTATTGTATATGGAGGATTAGTGTCTTTGAATTGTAGTCTTCGTCAAAGCGCGGTTCTCTCTTAAGTAAGCTGGATGAAGCTATTGAAGCGGGAATCAAGTGAGAGCGACTATAGTTTTTTAGTTTAGGAAGCAGAAGCTGAATGATTCGACTGATTCTAGTTCCTCGAGCAGCAGCAGTGACAGCAGCTCGAGTTCTAGTTCCTCAAGCAGTAGCAGTAGCAGCAGCAGCAGTAGCAGCAGTAGCAGCAGCAGCAGCAGTTCCGATTCTTCAGATAGTTCTGATTCTGAAAGTGAAGAGGAGGAGAAGAAGGAGAAGGAGAGCTCTAGTTCTAGCAGTTCGGATAGTTCTGACTCTTCTGACTCTTCTGACTCTACTGACTCTGAGAGTGAAGAGGAGGAAAAAAAGGAAGAAGAAAAGGAATCGAGCTCTGATTCGGATAGCTCGGATAGCTCGGATAGCTCGGATAGCTCGGATAGCTCGGATAGCTCGGATAGCTCGGATAGCTCGGATAGCTCGGATAGCTCGGATAGCTCGGATAGCGACGAGAGTGAAGAAGAAGAGGAAAAGAAGGAAGAGAAGAAGGAGGAATCGAGCTCTTCCAGTTCGTCTGACTCCTCTGACTCCTCCGATTCTGAGAGCGAAGAAGAGGAAAAGAAAGAAGAGAAGAAGGAGGAGAGCAAGGAATCCAGCTCTTCTGATTCTTCTGATTCTTCTGATTCTTCTGATTCTTCTGATTCTGAAAGTGAAGAGGAAGAAGAAAAGAAAGAAGAAGAGAAGAAGGAGGAAGAAAAGGAGTCGAGCTCTGATTCTTCTGATTCCTCTGATTCTTCCGATTCCTCCGATTCAGATTCTGAAAGTGAAGAAGAAGAAGAAAAGAAGGAGGAATCGAGCTCTGATTCTTCTGATTCTTCTGATTCTTCTGATTCCTCTGATTCTTCTGATTCTGAAAGTGAAGAAGAAGAGGAGGAAGAGAAGAAAGAAGAGAAGAAGGAAGAAGAGGAATCCAGCTCTTCGGATAGTTCCGATTCTTCCGATTCCTCCGACTCTGAGAGCGAAGAAGAGGAGGAAGAGAAGAAAGAAGAGAAGAAGGAAGAGGAGTCGAGCTCTGACTCTTCTGATTCCTCGGATTCCTCGGATTCCTCCGACTCTGAGAGCGAAGAAGAAGAAAAGAAGGAAGAAAAGAAAGAGGAGGAGGAGGAGGAGGAGGAGTCGAGCTCTTCGGATTCTTCGGATAGTTCCTCTTCCTCGGATTCCTCGGATTCTTCGGATTCTTCGGATTCTTCGGATTCTGAAAGTGAGAAAGAAGAAGAAGAGAATAAAGCAGAACAAAAGAAAGAAGAGGAGTCAAGCGCATCAGACTCATCAGACTCTTTAACTTTACCGAAGTCTGCGGTTTCTTCCGATTCTTCCTCCTCTTCGGAAAGTGAAGAACCGGTAGAAGAAGAAGAATCGAGTACTTCCGATAGTTCGGATTCTGATTCTTACGATAGCGAAGAATCTTCTTCTTCTTCTTCTTCTTCTTCGGATAGTTCCGACTCTGACTCCAGCTCCGATTCGGATTCCAGCTCGGACTCCAGCTCGGATAGTAGTAGCAATTCCAGCAGCTAACTAACTCTACAATGACTTCTCTCTCTCTTTGTTGAACACAAACAACACACTTCTATCGGTATTTACTCAAAACCTTCTTAAAAAAGCCGCACACAAACTCGGAAAGAGAGGAATCCGACCGAACTCGATCGTCTCGCAAACACACGCTAATCTGATTCATTTCCCTCTCCCCTCGAAGATAGACTCGCACCTGCAAATGCTCTCCAAGACTCTCCCGCAGATTCTGCACCACAGTTTGAATCCGCACGCAAAGCGGATCGTCGTTCTCCAAAATTCGCAACTCCGAAGCATGCATCGTGTTCACCACCGTCGAAACGCCCAACACTCGCGTGCAAGTCTCAATCGGCACCGACTTCCCCACAATCAGCACGATTCTACGTTCCACACCCTCTCTTCTTCCTCCTACCCAAACTCTCCAGTCATCAAGAAAAGATGCTCATGATCCAGCACACGCCCCGATAAAGCGAGGCGATTCGGCATCGACACCCAATCGCCTTCGTCCTTGCCCCACGCCTCGTCCGTCTCGTCCAAACAATACAGATGCGGATACAGATAATCCATCACGCGCTCCGGCGTGCAGTTGTACAGAATCTACGCGTGATTGGATCGGCGAAAACGCACCCATTTCGCGTAGGCTCGCTCATCCACGCGAGGATACACATCTTCGAGCTTCGCCACGCTGTTCATCGGCGTCATCGCAAGCAGCGGAGATTTAAGCAAGGCGTTGAGATACAGCGGAAGCATGGCGAGTCGCTCCGGCAGCGATAACTGAGCTACATATAAAAGGCAAACAACGAGCTTCGAACAGATCGGCGTGGTCGAGCACACACAGTTTCGATAGGTCGCCAAAACGGTGGCAACGATGTTCTGGACGTGCTCTCGCGTATCGAAAAGGCCTCCTTGCTCCACTTCGGCCACGGTGGCGCGCGTGATCAGCATCAAATACGCGGTCAGATCGATGGAATGGTAGATCGTGGCGTAATCGGAGGCCACTGCAAACCGATAATTGAAGACGCGGATGCACGTCTCCATCTGGTCATTGTGATACCTATCGTTTATCCGCCACACAAAACCCCGAACAGCACTGCAAACTGCGCGTACGCGTAGGGCTTTTTAATGTACCGGTCGATTCCGATCTCGGCGACAATCGACGCGTCGGGCGTCATGCAGGAACAAGAGAACGTGTTGCCCTGCGGATCGTTCACCACGCCTCCGTAATAGGTGATCAGATTCAGTCCTTCGGAGAGGCGAAGACGGCCGCTCAGCGAGCGCGCGGACGGGTTGAGCACGAGCACTTGCAGATAGGCGTGCAGCTCGGCGAGAGCCTGCTCGCGGTACGGACCGCGGAGCGACGGAGCGAAGTAGATCGAGCCTCCTACGGGTGAAGCAGAAGGAAAAAGCGCACCGGTATCGCTGATAATGCTCTCCAGATTGGCCAGCACGAAGTAATCCGACGCGGCGCCCGCGCAGAGGAGATCGATGCGCACCGCGGACGCTTGGCACTGCGCGTCCAGCTCCTCCAGCCACACCGTGTCTCCGTTCCGATTGTATCTACATCGCAGCGAGCCAGCAGAGCTACAGCGCGGCCTCGTCGGTGGTTCCGTACACTTTGATGCCCTCCTTCGCGAGCGAGCTTCCCTCGCCGATGCTCGGCGATCCCTGGATCACCACGATCCGGCCTCCTCCCACGCTTCGCAGCACGTTCATCGTCCCCTTCACCGCCGCATACAGCACAGCGTGCGTCGCCGTGCTCCCTGCGTTCGCATACGACAGCACATAATCGAGCAGCGCGTGGATCTGCGGCAAGGTTTCCTCGGTCACGCGAATCAGCCACCGGCCCGGCGCGATCGCTCCGAACGCTTCCTCGTAATCGGCCATGATGATTTGGCGCACGCGGCCCTGCGACCAGCACAGATAATGCGTGCGCACGTCCACCATGGCGATGCCCACCAAACTCGGCCCTTCCTTCTCCACCATCAGCTGCGTCGCCGCTTTCAGCCCGGCGATCGTCGCCTGCACTAATCCCGTCGACACCGCGCCCACCGACACGTCCACCAGGAACGAATACACGGGGATCTGCCGTCCAATCCCATCTCCGCGCCCTACCGAGCCCTCCTTCATGTTGAACTGCTTGCTGTCCACCACCGCCTCGTAGCTCCCGAACTGCAGCTCCGGCTTCGCCTCGATGTCCAGCGGGCGGCCGTTGACGTCGAGCGGGCTCTGGTACCAGTCGGGGACGTCGTTGACCGCTCCGCAGAGATTGCAGGTGAACGAGCGGCCGTAGTTCGAGAAGGAGGTGAACGAGTTCACGTACCCGCGACATTCCGAGCATCGAGGAATGCCCGCGCGACGGTCCACGCGGTGGATGGGCTGCTAGCCGTTAGGGGGCGCGGGGATCGGTACGTTTTTGGCGAAGGGCGTGAGAACGACGCCGAATCCTGTCGAGAAATCCGCGTCTTTGCCCGACAGCGCGGCGGTCAGCATCGAACGCTGCTCGGGGATCGTCGAGAGGGACGGCCGGAAGAAGAAGGGAGAGCTGTTCGCGCCCTCGATCACTTGGAGCGGCGTTTGCGGAAGCGGGAGACTCAGATTGTCGCCATCCGTAGGGAAGGTCATGGGGCCTTGGAAGTTCGCGGGAGGATGTGGAATCGTGGACGGATCGATACGCTGATCAGGTGGAATCACTGCTGGTGGCTACGCATGATGATAATGATTAGTCTCTTTTTCGTACAGGTTCGTGGTAGATCGGAGCTGGAGCATATTCTGGCTGCTCCTCGGGCTCCTTTGCCTCCTGCGGTGTTGGATCTACAACTCACGCCAAACAAACAAAACAACGGTGAGCATACAGGTCGGCCGCTGTCTTTCCGTGACGATATTGCGGAGTTATAGGGGAATGAAGAATTTGAGTCGGCGGAGGTGGAACTGGAGATCTAGAAATAAAGAACCGTTCCTTTCCGCACGTTGTCGAAGTTGGAGGTGGAGCTAATGGAGATGCGAGATGAGTCACAGGAGGAGGAGCTTGGCTAGCGGCTGGAACAGGAGCAAACGGGATTGGAGATGGTGTTGCTTGTTGAATAAATGGCGACTGCTGCGTAGTAGGAGAGGTGGAGCCACTTTTCTGACGCTAAACCGTTTTTCCCCATGCATACCTGCCTCAGGAAGGGGTTTACTTGACTCATCAGGATTATTTAATTCAAACGACACCAGCAACAAGGTGATGATGAAATGAAACTCCCTACTCCAGTTTTCGAGTAGTTTTCAGCGAAAAGTGTAGATTCCTCTTTTCTCTCTAAATCTATACATTACTCATCGTGCTACGATCACTGGAAATACACAATGAACGAATACTCCCAAGTGCTGACGCAGTTTCTGAATTGCTCCCATACCGTTGTCTCCGAGCCAGGATCAGAAGAGGCAAGAAGGAATGAAGAAACTCTGATGCAAATCATCACATCGCCTCAGTTCCCTTCGGTTTTCTTGTCATATTTGGTAGCTTTGCGTTATGTGTAGTGAATTATTCGAACGGGTCGATGATCCCACGCCACTCGTGATGGGGGCGCTCTCAATGAAGAATATGATTGTCTCTCCAAAGGGAGGTAACATGGGAGATCTTAATGCAATAAGTCGCTTCCTTCAACTCTGCTCATTTGTAGAGACGTTTATTTTCCGATATTTGCTCAACCACATAAATACTCACAGCAATGTCGTTCACGCACTATGCTCCGTAATCGGAAGAATCATAAAGGTAAGCTACCTAACTGATTTGCGTCAACGAAAACTGCTTTCCGAGATGGGAGAATTCTTTTCTGGAGGTCTCTTCTACCAGAAAGTGGGTTTCGAAATACTAACCGAAGTGGTTGTTCAGATTAGTCATTTTTCGTCCTGTATCATTTTCCTTTTCTTCTGATCGTAGTATTCGAAACCCACTCCACATTCCGAAGCACTGCCATCATCTTCTGCGATACCATGCTTCTCCCGATTCTCAAACAAACCCTTTCTTACATTCCTACATCCTCTCCTTACCCTCAACTCACTCCAGAATACATTGTTTTCTATTCCTCCCTTCTCCGTCTCTTCAACGTGATCCTTCAATTCGATTTCTCAGGATCGAAGAATGAAAGCATGGCCGATGAAGTCGAAATGCTGCTGATTCCTTCGGATTGGTCGCCCTATGTCACCTCTCCTTCCCTCCTCTCTTTCCTCTATTTCATTTACACCAACAGCGATTGCACCCTCGCTTCCATCGCTGCCGAGTCCGTTCTCTATCTCACCTCCATGCGACGATCCATCTTCAGCTCCTCTCCCGATGCGATCGGGTTTTACGGCGAGATTCTCCGCGCTTTAAACATCATCATCAAGCAACAAACGCACTTAGAAGACAGCACGTGCCATTTACTCATCTGCCAAATCCTCTCCAAACTCAAATTGAATATCCAGTTCAACGAGATCATCAAGTTCAAGGAGTTTCCAGAGTTTTTCCAGACCGTTTCGCAGTTTGCGACGTCGAGCATCGAGCAATACGGTTATTTCGGCGATTTCCTCTACATCCTGATTTTCTGGGCTCGCATTGTGGAGTCCTTGCGATACACCAACGCTCCCATTCAAGACTACTACCCGCTCGATAAGATGAAGCAGGACATTCTGAACGTGGTTCACGCGTTTGTCTACACATTTCCAGAGCATCTGGACGAGTTGATGGACGATTCGTTCGGAAACCCGCTTCTCAATATCGATAAATTCATGAAAGACGAAGAGCGATTAGGGATTCTTTTATGCTACGATAGCGGGGTCGTGACGGAGTGGATTCTGCAGCTCGCTACACCGCGATGGCCGGCGCGCGACATGCAAGATTCTTGTAGAGAAAATTGCGCGAGAAAGTGACGATTAGCGATCGTAGCGTGGAGCCTTCTGCTGATTTCGATCTTCCTGAAGCGGCTGAAATTCACAGATCTGCAGGTGAAAAGCAACATGCATTTGGACGCTTCGCGTCTCTGCTCGTTCGCGTTTGCGGTGTCCAAAGTGCTGAATGAAGAAACGCCGTCGATTCTGTATGAAAGCTGTTTTGTGTTTATGAATACTTTCCGATTATCGTACGCATTTCGACTTGTCTGCATCGCAGCGTTGAGAATTACAAGCTGAACGCGATCGTGAACATGCAGGGCGAGGGGACGAAGAACTACACATCGCAGCGCATCGAGGCCTTCAAAGTCTTCTTCACACGCATTCTCGACGGAGAGGTCGCTTCCGTTCTCAACCACTTCATCTATTTCATTCTCTTTTCCCTCGCTCTTCCCTCGCTTTCCTCGTTCTGCGTTTACCAGGCCGTCTCTCTCTTCGATCTCCTCTCCAAAAACATGAACGCGCGCGCCGTTCTCGTCCACGTCTCTTCCGTTCGCGCGCTCATCGTCAATCATCGAGACACGCAGCTTTCCGCGCTCGCTCTCCCTGAACACATGCGATACCGCACCGTTTTCTACTGCGCACTCACGCAAATCATGCTGCACGCCGCGGTTCCCGGAGACTTGGAAGGCTTTACGAAGCCGTTTATTAACGAACTGCAGGAAATGAAGCAGAAGCAGCAGTTCGGCGCACTCGTTCCTTTGCTACGCGATTTAACCGGCGTGTTTCGCGCGTGTGCCGACGAGAAGAACTTCGTGTGCTGCTACGACTTGCTGTGAGGTTGGAATCGAGAGTTGAACGTAGTTGCCCGCTTTGCTTCGAAGTCGTCGAGCTCCAGATCGACAATGAATGGGGAAACCCGTTCTTTTCCACGGCTCTGTTCCGCTTTCTGGCGGAGCTTTCGCTGAATCGAAGCAGTCGAATCAACAGCGACGATCCGTCGCCTCGCATCGCGCTGTTCTTCCGGTTCATTGCGTCGATCGCGCAGAAGTATTTTATCTTCGCAGCCACCCTGTATCAATCCTCTCCCAGTGTATTTTAATGGATCAAAGGATGGATGAATCGTAGAATCCTATTTATCCGAACTCCTGCCTCAAGGCGTTTCAGATTCTATTCGAAATTCTATCGAATCTGTTCGCAGGGAGCTATGTTCCTTTTGGAGCGCTTCTCTACTACAACGATCCCTATCTGTTCGAGCTAATGTCTGCAATTGCGCAAGCGATTCCTGCTCTGGATCTTTCTGGACTCGAAACGATTCCGAAATTGGGTGTTTCGTTCTTTAGTTTTCTGCGCGCTCTTTTCACTTCTTCGATGCTGGTGGTGTCGTCGCTCCCTCGCGATATCTTCTTTTTGTTTGTTCGGTACTGCATCGCGGGACTGTCTTCCGACAATGAATCGATCGTGAAGTATTCGTGCAGCAGCATCGATTCCTTGGCCACTTTCATCTATCACAATCATAAAAGTTGCAGTCAGATCTGCCGACGCCTCGTCGAATTCATTCAGTCAGAGAACGATTTCTGGTATTTGTAGGCGTCCACAACGTCTGTGATGTGTGTAGAATCATCGAGCAACTCTTCGATGTCTTGCTCTTCACAAAGTCTTCTCTGCAGTGGGATTTGTCGCGGCCGCTCTTGTCCGTGTTTCTCGTCGACGAGTCGTCCATGCAGCGCTATGCGCAGAATCTCTGCCTGAATCAGAGCGAGACGATGGTGCAGCAGATCGTGGAGGTCTTCGAGGAGCTGTCCAAGTCGGCGGATCGCTCGCTGGAAACGTGGTCGCGCGAGATGTTCACCATCACTCTCACCAAACTCGTGAGGCGACTGACGCAGTTTTCCATCCAGCGCCGCGAATTCGCGTGAGATCGAGTGGGTCGTCGGGTTGCTTGTGTGTATCTCTGTATTGGTTTGGGCTGTTTCGATCAAACACACAAATCGTCAAAAAAAACGACAGAACGGTTGTGGAACTGATTCACCAGCTCCACAAGAAAGTCGCGTCTTTTCCGAGCAACCACCTTCAGCCGCTCATACGTGCTGTTCGCCAGCGATTCGTCAACTACTTCCGCATTTTCGTGCGTCACAGAAACCATATTTAGATCATAATAATCGTTCTCGAAGCTCGGTGTGCCGTCCTTCACATCGTAGATCTTGTAACACTCCTCGTTCACCCCCTCCACTTCGCGCCCATCCAAACTCGCAATCACGACGCATTGAATGTCTGCATCGTTATCCACCCACTCGTCGCCCAGCGACTGACACATCTGATTCAGAACCAGCGACGAAATCACGAACAGAATGCACGAGCGAGACGAAGAGAACGGCAGCCCGAAGCGACAGCGAGGCGACCGATACAGCCATCGCTGGATGCTCCGCTCCGCGATGAAGCGAGCTTTGTGGTGCCAGTAATTGTAGTTTGAAAGGGTCGATGGATGGCGACTGTTCTTGATCTCGGTACAAGAAAATGGAATTTGAAGGTAGGGAAGCTCGGGGTACGAGCGATCCGCAATGAGAAAGGAACCGCGGTTCAGAACAGTGCGTTTGTGGAAGCGAAGCGTGTAGCCCAGAGCCGATTCATTGAAGATTTTACAGTTGCTTTGGTTGCCGTTTTCACTGATGTGGATGTTAAAAAAGCGACCATCACGACCGATCACGATGAGAAGCTTGATCCCTGGCTGCGCTGGCTCTTCGGAGGAGCTGGAATAAGATTCCTCCGCGGAGAGCAGCTTCGGGACGAAGACTGTATCTACACATCAGAAGAACAAGCGAAGCAACGTACCCACAACACCCACAGCGCCAGGGAAGAAGCGCTTTGAATTCACCCGGAGCAAATTTTGATAGTTCAGAGCAGGAAAGCAAATCACTTTGTCTCGAACTTCGTTCATCATCTTGTTAAAGAGATTGATGTATATCTCTTCGAACGAAGAAGAAATGCCACAGAATTGGGAGCAGCTCCTCAGCGACAGACACGAGTTTATATAGAGCACTGAGAAGCAAACAAATTCGGTTATCGCTTCATCCTTATTATTGATTAGAGTCGATAATGTGAACGTCTTTGTACTCTTGATCTCCCTGCAAATCCGCGGAATCGTCTCCCGATTAACATGAAAAAGTCTGCGGAACATTGAGTTGCTTGCCTTGGTTAGAAAATAGTACAATAATGCTTTGGTTTTCATGTCCTTCTCAGATCGGTACCAGATCCTTGAAGAGAAATCGTTGAGCAGCTTTTCGCAATACCTTTGATCATTTGCATTATTCACAAGCATATAGGCCACTTCTTCCATCCTATACCCCAATTGATCCCAATTCTATAGAGTTCCCAAGTCCGCTCGAATTTTCGTGCGTCCAATGACTTTGTAGCCTGAGTATCTGTTGCATTTTCGATTTATCACTTCTGGATGGGATATCTACTGCTAGACAGAGTAAATAGAAGTTGTAGCAACGGATTATCGAGAAGCTAGGCGGTTTTTTCATCCGTAGATTTTGGCATTTTATGTATGTATCGACGCATCTGCACTCCTATTATTCCTTGGTCCCATTCACAGATTGATTGGATTTCACTACAGCGTTTTCCAGAATTCGTGCCTTATTTGACGAGGCGTTTCGTTTTGGTTCATCTCCTTTTCTAACTTTGTTAATAATACGAAATGGCCGAACAAGTTACTGGAAATACTGTCCCTCAGAGGGTCTCTCTCCATCGCAATTTTGCTTTTAAGGATTATTGCATTATTGCTGGTTTGACCTTGATTTCGCTCCCTCTTGGTTTTTACTTTGGTATTTTTGTACGATGGATGCGGATAATGCGTAGGAAGGGGAAATGGAAAGTTTGTGCAGAAGGCTACGATGTATACCACTGGACTCCTGGGTCTCGCTGGAGGTTATTCCATTGCCCTCGTAAATACACGGAAGCGCATTCTGGGTGAATAAGCTGGTCAAGGAAAGCGTTCATTCCATACAAACTGTTTAGTGTTTTGTTTGTTGTGAGATGAAAGAGGAGTGTTGTAGAACAAACAGGAGATGGTACAAGCGATTTAAAACATGTCTTCCTCACCAAACATGCTCTTTCCGCGATAGATAAGGCGAGTACATCTTTGCGACGTGTTGTAGCACCTCGCGAGCATCCTCTCAATTTTCTCAAGGTTTCTTTGGGACCTATGTTCAATGGTCAGTACAACACTACTTTGCAGTATTTCGCACCTGGAGCAATGATTGATTCCTTTCCAGAGTCGGAATGAGCTCATTCACAAGCGTCTCATACTTCTGACTCATCGCAGTGTAAATGTCCCGAATCACATCAATCTTGTTTTTCTGCTTCTCTGGAGGCCGGAAATTCAACGAAACACCCAGTCTGAAGGGGTCATCGAAGTTTAACATATCTGAATGGAATACAGATCAATAGCCAACCTGCATCCTGTGATGGCGATGGTTCCTCCACTTGGATCGCTTCATAGTATTTGTATTCGAACGCTTCCATGTCTTCGAAAAGACCCCACACCACCTTGTTGACCGCTTCCAGCAGAATGTCCATTGAATGTTGCTTGCGCTGTCGTTGCTGCTGTTTCCCAGTGTCCATAGAGGAAGCGGAAGCGGAAGCGGAAGGAGAAGCGGAAGCACTTAACCTCTTTTGGTTCTTCCGCTCAAGAACAATCTTTTCGCGTAAGTATTCTCGACAGACAGAAAACTGGGGATACATGGCACCAAAACGTTTGTCACTACATAAAACAATGCAATCTAACGATTACTAGATTTCCATACTCTCAGAAAGTCGAATTTGAAAGTCTCGAGCTGCGTACTCCGGTTCTGGCACAGCATTGCGTATCCCAAAAGCCAAGTCAACGATTTCCTTGGAATTAGAGGTGTAAGGAAAGTCGAATACAGGCAATGATTGGACGAAGAGATGACGGACTTTCTTCGAATGCAGCACCAGCTCATCTACTATCTGAAATGCTAAATCTCGAGTCTATAAACTGATTCGCAACATCCAATTGACACAAGACTATTCTTCTTCCGCATCTTCTCCATGAGTTTATTATAGTACATAATATTCATGTGATGCTCCCTAACTTGGTCCTAGATAGAATGCTTAGAAACAGATTTACAAGGATGTCATTCTTCAGGCGAGGATTCACATACGTGCTATCGCTCTCCGGGGAGGTTGCCTCATTGAGCATCTTTTCAATAATGGATAACAATCCAGGGTGCACATCCATAACATAAATTTTATGCAAACAAACAAATACGAAGGACTGATAAATTTACTTCCGTCCGCGAATTCCCTTCACCTTCGACTCATGAACTTCCAGCGTAACAGTGCAGGAAGACGAGTCTCCAGCGATAATCTGCGAATTGTAGCACGCCTTTCCGCTCTCCACGGACTTGATCTGGATCACACCGTCCGTGCAGATAGCATAGCGAGTCGTGCAGGTGTTCGACACGAAGTCGTCGACATCATCCACACAGATCATTCCGGAGAAAGAGCACTCCATTCCAGCGCACTCCGAATTCAACACTTGTTCATTGTTGTAGCACATCGTTCCCACCGCGGTCTTCTTGGGCGCTGTGTACTTGCCGTTGTTGCACTGCACGAAATAGCCCGAGCAGCGGCCCGTCACCAGCTCTCCGTCCTCGTTCGAGCAGCGAATTCCATCGAAGTCGCAGGTCGTCGTGGAGCTGCACACCTCGTCGCTGGCCGAGATGATGTTCTGGTTGTAGCAGCGCGTTCCGGAGGCCACAGCCACGGGCTGCGAGTACTTGTTGTTCACGCAGGTCACGAAGTATTCGGTGCAGGCGTCCGAGACAAGCGAGCCGTTGGCGTCCGAGCAAATGAAGCCCTCGAAGTCACACTCCACCGCCGAGCAGGCCGACTCCTCCACGATGACGTTGTTGAGGCAAGCCTTGCCGGAGTCCACGACCTTCGTGGTCACCGCGCCGTTGACGCATTCCTGGTAGCGAGTCGTGCACTTGCCGGTCACCAGCGCGCCGGTTTCGTCGACGCAGCGCGGTCCAGTGAAGGTGCACTCGGGCTGGTTGCAAGCAGAGCTCAAAACGATCTCGTTGTTCAGGCAGCGAGTTCCGTTGGCGACGGGCTGCAGCTTGGTCTGCTGGCCGTTGACGCACTCCACGAAGTAGTCAGTGCAGCGACCGGTCACGTAGTTGCTGGACGAATCCGCGCAGTGAATGCCCTCGAACGAGCACTGCGAGCCGGGGCAAGTAGAGGCGAGAACCACGTTTCCGCCGATGCACTTGGTTCCGGCAGCCACCTTCATCGGATTGGTGTACTTTCCGTTGTCGCACTCCACGAAGTAGTCAGTGCAGGTCGTATCGAAGACGATTCCGGCCTCGTCCGTGCACTTAATTCCAGTAAAGTCGCAGGTACCCTGGCTGCAAGCGAAAGGCAGCACCATTTCGCCCTTCAGACAATACGTTCCGTTGGCCACAGGCATGGGACGCGCGTAGAAACCGTTGTTGCACTCCACGAAATACGAAGTGCAGGTGTTGTCGTTGATCGCTCCGGAAGCATCTGAGCATCGCATGTTGCCGTTCGTGCATTGGACGCCCGTGCACTTATCGGTGCTGACCTGAGTTCCGTTGAGGCAACGCGTTCCGTCGGCCACAGCGCGAGGAGCCGTGTAGACGCCCTGATCGCACTCCAGATAGAACTCCGTGCATTGGTTGGTGAAGATTTCGCCGTTCGCGTTGGCGCAGACAATGGTGTTATCGACACATCGCGTAGAGTCGCACTGGCTCGCGGACACAATCGATTGCTTGAGGCAACGCGTGCCATCGGCCACGGGCTGCGGCGCACTGACAACACCCTCGTCGCACTGGACGTAGTAGGAAGTGCAGGAGTCGGTAACGATGGTTCCATCGGCATTGGCGCACTGAATTCCTTCGAACGAGCACTGCGCAGCGTCGCAAGTGTTCGCGTTCACCAACACGCCGTTCAGACATTTCTGGCCAGAAGCAACGGGACGAGGAGCGGTCTGCGCGCCATTGTCGCACTCCGCGTAGTAATCAGTGCAGGCATTGGTAATGATCACGCCGCTCGCGTCGACGCACTGCTCTCCCTCCCAGTTGCATTGATATCCGGTGCACTTGCTCACAGGCACGGCTTCTCCCTTCAGGCAACGCGAGCCAGCAGGCATGTCACGAATCGCAGAGTACTGTCCATGTTCACACATACGGTAGTGAGCCGTGCAGGTGTCCGTGTAGACAACTCCGTTGATATCGACACATTCAATTCCGTCAAAGTCACAAATCGGGCTAGCGCACTGGCCAGCATCGATGATCGTTCCGTTGTAGCATTTCGTTCCATCGGCCACAGGGCGAGGCACAGAGTACGCGCCATTGTCGCACTCCTCGAAGTAGTCCGTGCAGGTGGTTTCGTACACATCTCCGTTCGCGTTGCTGCAGCGAATTCCCTCGAAGTTGCACTCCGCAGTCGAGCACGCCGAAGCGTCCACAATCGCACCGTTCGAGCAGCGCGTTCCGTCGGCAACCGGCATGGGCTGCGTCAGCTGTCCGTTGGAGCACTCCACGAAGAAGGACGTGCACTGATCGTAGTAGACGTTTCCGTTGGCATCGGAGCACTTCAGTCCGTCGAAGTCGCAGTATTCGTAAGGGCAGTTATCGGTCGCAACAATCAATCCGTTGTAGCAGCGCGTGTTGTTGGCCACGGGGAGAGGAGCCGTCAGCGAACCGCCATTGCACTGAACGAAATGCGTCGTGCACATGTCGGTGTAGATCGTGCCGTCAGCGTCCGAGCAGCGAATTCCTTCCCACTCGCAAGCGACGCCCGTGCAGCTGGAAGAAGGAACAATTGTTCCCTTCAAGCACTTCGTTCCGTAAGCCACTCCCTGGACCTGTCCGTAGACTCCGTTATCGCACACAGTGAAGTAATCCGTGCAAGCAGTGGTCTCCACGACGCCCTCCGAGTTCGTACAAACCAGCTGGTCTTCCGTGCAGACGGGAGTCAAGCAGGTGTTCTTGGGAACCAGCTCTCCGTTCAGACACTTCGAGCCTTCGGCGACAGGGACGGGAGTAGTCTGCATGCCGTTATCGCACTCCACGAAGTAGTTGGTGCAGGTGTTGGTGATGATCTCTCCGTTCAGATTAGAGCACTTGACGCCTTCCCAGTCGCAGGAAGTGGTGCAGGAAGAAGAAGGCACTTGCTCGTTGTTGAAGCACATCGTTCCGTTGGCGGTCTTGCGAGGCTCGGAATACATTCCGAACTCGCACTGCACGTAATAATCCGAGCAGCGATCGGTGATGAGGGTTCCGTCCGACGTAGAGCAGCGAATTCCTTCGAAATCACACTCGTAATCCACATCCGAGCACTGGCTCTCCGCAATCATTTGTCCGTTCAGACAGCTCATTCCAGCAGCGGTGTTCTGCAGAGGACCGTACACTCCGTTCGAGCAATCGCGGTAGTACTTCGTGCAGATGTTCGTCTCCAGGTTTCCGTACGAGTCCGTGCAGATCGTTCCCTCCTTGCAGCTGCCAGAGCAGTCAGAAGCCAGCAGAATCTCGCCGTTTCTGCAGCTCGTTCCCTTGGGCACAGCCTCCACCGCGTTGTATTGGCCATCGCTGCACTGACGATAATAACCAGTGCAGATATCCGTCTGCGCCACTCCATTCACATCCGTGCAGAGAAGAGTTCCGTCCGTGCACTGGCACGCATCACAGTCGGCAGCATCCACGATTTGGTCATTGTAGCAGCGAACATCGTCAGAGAGCTTCATCACTCGATCCTGGCTGGTCTTCTCGACAGAGAGCTTCAAATCGTCGAAGCCCTCGCAGAGATAGATGTACTGGGTGCAGGCGTTCGACACGATATCGCCCATATCATCGCTGCAGAGGAACTTCTTGCCGTAGCAGATGTTTCCAGGGCAGAGATTGTTCGCTACGATTTCCTTGTTCAGGCAGGAGTTTCCTTCGGGAACAGCAATCGGACTCGTCACCTCGCCGTTCTCACACTTTACATAGTAGCCCGTGCACACGGTGGTGCGCTCCTGGCCATAAGCATTGGTACACTTAATGCCAGACCAAGTGCAGCACGCGCTCGTGCAATCGGAGCTAGCAACGATCTTGCCGTTCAGACATTTGGTTCCAGGACTCACACAAGTGACAGGACTTGCGATTCCATCGGTACATTCTCTGAAATAGTTGGTACACTTGCCATCCACTTGAACTCCTTGCGAATCTGTGCAGAAGAGACCTTCCTGATCACAGCATCGGCTCAGACTGCAAGAAGAGGCAGCCACAATCACACCATCGCGGCAACTTGTTGAAACAGGGTCGTTGACCATGATCGGATTGGTTTGAATCCCTCGATCGAGACAGAGGGCGTAGTATTTGGTGCACTCGCCTTGAACCCAGTTTCCATCGACATCAACACAACGAGCTCCAGTGTAGTCACATCCTAGAAATGAGCGAGACTCGAAAACAAGTTACCAATGGTGGACAGCGCTATCTGAAGAGAGATAGCGAACAGTATTACGAACTGCTTCTTATTCGATACCATACTTATTCAAAGAATATTTTTATGAGTTTACATCAAGGATGAGGACGAAGCCTCTCAACTTGAAAACCATGACATTGATAAGTTCTCGAAATCATCCTGCTTTCTATTTCCAGGATATCCTTTCAAAATCAAACGACACCTCCTGAGAAGGGATTGTTTTTTGTCATATCAGGAACATCGACGATTCCACCCTTTTACGCAAAATCGCAAATTCTTGCCATAACATTTCCAAAACTTTGCCTTCATTAACAATCATCCCAACCTGAATCAAACCAAATATCGGAATGTGGAGCAGATATAGAAAAGAAAAAGACGATAAGGATATAAAAGAAGACGAAAAAGTCCTTACCGATGAATCTGAAAAGAAGGAGGATCCAGCCGAAAAGTGTGACAACCCGCCATTTTCTAATTTCATAGAGAAGAAAAGGAGGTCGATGGTGGAGATGACAAGGAAGATGCTTCTGCTGAAACTGTGCCTACGGATCCTGCTACTTTAATTGATGAGGAAACCAATATGTTGCAAGAAAAGTTTAATAAGCTGAATCTGCCCAAAGATGAGTTATTGGATACCCGTGTGGATTCTAAGAAGTTTGAAGAAAAAGTGGAAATCCCTGAGAACAACATCAAGCTAAACCCAGACACTTTGAAAGCTTCAGGCAAGCAAGTCATGAATAAAGCCAAGGAGTTTTGGGAACGGCTCAAGAATCGCAGGCCTGAGCAGGTAATATCGATTCCGCGAATCAAGCGGCCATCGAAGACTCCTCCCCCCGTTGTGGAGGATGTGACGAATCTCAAAGACGAAATCGAGAAGGAGCCCGAATTAAAAACGATCGAGGAGCTCAAAGACCCGAAACTCGCCTCCTACCCGATCCTCTTTTCCAAAACCGTCGAAGTGATTCACGACAACCGAAAAGAAAACGCAGACAACGACATGAATCAAATCAAAAAGATCGTGGAGCCGGAAGTGGAGGTTCCCAAAGACCTCCCTCAATCCGAAAACGACCCCTACATGCCTCCTCCCAGCGGCTCCAACGGCTCCGATTCCCCCAAATCGCCCAAGAAAAAACCGTCCTGGGCGTCCAAAGCGGCGACAGCGGTGTGGTCGGCCACGCAGAAGAAGGCCGTGCTTCTCTACCACACCATTCGAGATTCCGACGTGGGGATGCAGTTCTTTGTGCTCTCTGTCGGCGTGGGAGGTCGCCGTTGGATCTCGATTTGATGCTTAGTGTCCGCTCTACTGATTTGGAAGCGCCACAGCTTTTATTCGTTCCGTTCTGCCGAGCAGCTTTTCACCACCCTCAAAGCTCCTTTCGAAATCCACGGCGTCGTTCACTCGATCAACCCACAGCGCGGCTTTGTGAATGTGTAGCGGTCCGCACAGCGCCGTAAACGATAGAAAGCAGCTTCCGTTCCCTCGCTATTTGCTTTCCGGCTCGCGCAACGCCGCGATGGAGTGCGCCGAAAGCGAGATCATTCCTCTTTCTCTTCTTGCAATCAACACAAACAAAACGAGCAACGTCGATTCTGACTCCGATCCTTAGGAATAGATGATGCTTCAAAGTCTTTACGCGACGTTGTCTCCGATTCCATGCAAAGCCAAAGTGTTTTATAGGTGATACTTTATTTTTCTTCATTGGTGACGTACAGCGCGCAGCACATCAATCCAGAGCTTCCGATCACTCCCTTCTACGGCGATTTGTTTTTAAAGGATTTTTCGGGGCGGTTCGGCATAAAGGGCTCGTATTACAGCTTGTCTCGCGAGCTGGTTCGCATGGGCGTCTGCTCCATCGATCGCGATATGTGAGTCGCAATGAACACGATCGAAACTAGAAATATCGATATTAATAAAGAGACGAGAGCTTTTATGAAGAAGCTGAGCAAAGATGAGTTTTATGCAATTCGAAGAGTGGAAATGGCGGGAAAGGGTGAGAAATAGAAGCTTGGGATTTGGGAGGAGAAGACACCGTCGTTTGAGGAGAATTGGCTCACGAGAGGGTGGTTTGCGATTTACCGGCCGTTCTATAAGAAATACGTGTTGCCAAGGAAATCGACTCATCTGTTTGACGGCCAGATTAAAAGAGCACAGTAGGAACCGTTTGTTACATCGATATACGATTGAATGTTTGTTAAAATACGAATGTTGCCTCGTCTTTTTTAAATTCTTCCTGCTTCTCCAGAACCTAGCTTGAACATTTTGGTCTTGATTGAACTTGGTGGCTTACTCCAGTTTTTGTTAACAACTAGATCGCATATGAATCCGTATTCAAGTGTAGCCCATCCCGCACATATCTACAATTTGGGTATTTTATTTGGGTCCGGAAGGTCATTTCATAGGAGATGAGGTACGAGCAAGGCTTGGAGATAAGTACTTTCCTGCGAAGATTATCGAGGTCAATATAAACAAATCGGATCCTCTTAAAAACCGATACTATGTCCACTTCGGCCATGTAAGCAATCGTGGCGATGTTTCGAACTAGGTGAATCGTCGAATGGATTCATGGATGTCGGCTGCGGATATTCTTCCCTACAAGCTAGATAACGAGGTAGTACTGTCTTTTCCCGATGTTTCGTAGATTATCGAGAAAGACAAAATTGTAGATACTATTGTACAATTTTGTTGATCGATCCACTTGTAGAATAAATTCGAAGTGGCCGGAGTCACAATCCAGCAAGCATCCGGTGTTATCGAGTTTTACGAGCCTGAGCACACCAGTAAAATGGGAATGGACGATGCCTCCATCCGCGAGCACGAAGAAGTGACGAAGGTGAAAAACATTCAATCCATCCAGATCGGTTGTTTCATCGTGGACACGTGGTACTTCAGTCCCTTCCCCAAAGAATTCTACCCCACAGGCCACACCGACCGTGTAGGCGTCGAGTCTTTTGGCGATGTAGCTTTTCATCTGCGAGTACTGCCTGAGCTTCTTCTTAACGTACTCGGAGCTTCACCGACACATGCAGAAATGCACGTTCTACGTAGTGACGGAGGAGGCCTTGCACGTAGAGCCCTCCAGGCGACGAGATCTACCGGAAGGACAATCTGAGCGTGTTCGAAGTGGACGGGAACGGCAATTATTACCAGCGCGTGTATTGCGAGAATCTGTCGTACATCGCCAAGCTCTTTCTGGACCACAAAACGCTCTACTTCGACGTGACGCCGTTCTATTTCTATGTGGTGACGGAGTACGACGACCAGGGCTATCACGTGGTCGGGTATTTCAGCAAGGAGAAATGCTCGGAAATGGGGTACAATCTCGCGTGTATCATGACGCTGCCACCGCATCAGCGAAAGGGGTACGGGCATTTTATGATCCAGTTCTCGTACGAGCTGAGCAAGATCGAGCGGAAGGTAGGGAGTCCGGAGAAGCCGCTGTCGGATCTGGGGCATATCTCGTATCATAGTTTTTGGAAGGAGGGTGTGTGTATGCGTGCGCAGTGATTCATAGAGATCATAAAATTGTTGGCGAAGTCGCATCAGCAGATGCTGTCGTTGGTGGATATCGCGAAAGTGGGGAAGAAGGGAGGAATGAAGCGCAGATGACATCGTTCACGACGGAGGATATCCAGGAAACGCTGAAGCTGCTGGATTTGTTGAAGTAGAAGAGAGGGCGAGGCGTGAGCGGCAGATATTATAACGGACAGTATATTCTGACAGTGCCGCAGAATCTATTGGATATGCTTCCGAAGAGTGTAGGGACGAGGGAGAGGAGTGAGAGCAAGAAACGGAAAGGACCGATCGTGTATCCGGAGTGCATTCATTGGCGACCATCGCGAGTAGGAGAGAGAAGGGAGGCGTGATGGATAGTTCAGTCGGAAGGATAAATGGTCGTACGATCGGCTGGGCGAAGACGACAAAGTGCTGTGGATTGTTTGTTGCAACACGCACGCAAGCAAAGATTTAGATCATCATCGTCCTCTCCGTTCAGAGCCGCCTGCTCCAAAGCTTCCAGCGGCGACAGCTTCGGAGCTTCTTCTTCTTTTTCTTTTTCTTTTTCTTTTTCTTCTTTCGCTTCTTCCACGGGCGCAGCCTTCTTGGGAGACTCGGCCTTCTTGGGAGACTCCACCTTCTTCGGCGCTTCAGCCTTCGGCGTTTCGACCTTCTGCGGCGACTTGGGCGACTTGGGCGACTTGGGCGACTTGGGCGACTTGGGCGACTTGGGCGACTTGGGCGTCTCGACCTTCTTGGGGGCTTCCGCTTTCTTGGGCTTCGGAACGACCTGTCGAGGCGCGGGCTTCTTGGGCTCCAGATCGCTACAGTGAACGGATCGGCCCACGTCCTACACGGGCTGCGTCTCGTCTCCCTCGGCCTGCTTGAGCATGGCCTCGGTCTCCTCGCGGTACCACTCCACGGGCTGCGCGATCTGCACGTTCTTCCCGATGCGGTTCACCTGCTGCTGCACGAAGTTGAGCTGGTTGTGCTGGTGCAGCTCCTCCACGCGCGCCTCGTCGAAGTCCTCGCACGCCTTGATCAGATCCTCCTCCAGCGCGATCTCCTGCGAGCGGAGATAGCTGTCCACTCTACGGATGAGCCTGCTCGCTTCGCGAGACTACTGGAGATGCTGGTTGAACTCCTGCTGCGCGGCGGGGAGGTCGCCGGCGCCCAGATAGATCACCACGATCGAGAGATAGCACTTGAAGCTGGGGGTGAGGCAGAGGCGAACAGAGAGACATGTTGTGCTCCTGCTGCAGCTTGGTGAACAGAGCGATCATGCGGCGCAGGAGGATGATGGCGGACTGGAAACGGCCGATGCGCAGAAGCAGATTCAGCGTGTTGTTGAAGGTGTCCACGGCGAAGTCCTGGCGGTCGAAGTTCTGCATTGTACAGCATTTCGAGGCAGTACCACAAAGAGGTTGCAGGCTCGAAGCATGTAGCCAGCCGCCATGTGGATGTTCTTCTTCTCCACCACATGCGCGATCTTCACGAGGCATTCGGCGGCTTTATCCATGCAGTTCGCGAGGAGGTACTCTTTGCAGCTGCGGTCATAGTAGTCGCGAGCGTCCGCGTCGCTTTTGTCATCCTTTCTCTGAATTGATAGCTGGAGATGAGAATCCTTTCGAACCATACAAGAGCACACTTCTCTAATTTTGTGGCAGCATTCAGATCATCCTCGAGCTACCAATAACACCATGTCAAAAAACCCACCTGTTGATCGATTTCGGAACTTTTTTCGTAATACTCAATGGCTTCAGGCAGTTTCTGTGCAACGTAATACGCTTGAGCTAGGGATTAGGACAACCCAGCTAGATCTTACCGGCCTCGTAATATTCAATAGTGGCTCCATTCAGATCGGGCTTACGCTTGAAAAATCCTGTTTTCATGCTAGTCCATAACAGAAAACAGCCGGATTCTACCACGCGCGAGCTTTCTCGAGGTGGGCTTCCGCTTCCGCAATTTTTCTGGCTTTCATCCGTTCGAATAACCTTGAATTAGGTCTTTCTTCATCAAGAATCATTTCTGCGGAAAAGTCAAAATTCCCGCGAGTCTTTCTGTGTCAGATCCAGTACATAATAAATAAAAAAGAACGATTCGAGTATGAATAAAATGGAAACGCTAATCAAGATAAAGTCATCTGGAAAGGTATTGAAGACTTATCTTAATCCATTCCAAACAGTGAAAGAAATAATCGATGAAAAACTACTTCCTGATCTTGCCGTAGCGTTTTGAATCGATCGGTTTGATTTTTAGCATGCAGGACTGATGCCTCACGATGCCAAGATCCAACTCAGTATTAAGGAGATGGTTCTTGTCCCTGGAAACCGTCTAATCGCTTATGGTTACCAAACAGGTGATGAGATCTTGGTTGAGGAAGTTCCTGTTGTGTTGTTCGTTCTCTTTAAACGTAGGAAAGCGTCCCTGAGAGTACAACGGACTATTCTGTTGCAGGTAATCTCTCTCCCTGACCCTTATTTTCAGCTGTTGCCGTGTCTAAGCTAATCTACAATAAGGATTATTCTGGAGTCCTGGAGTTTTTGGAGAATCTCTTAGACTACCCAGAAATCTTTGCACCTGCACTCCGTGTTTTTGTCGCTAGCATCAATGTCCGTATGTTCTACTCTTGGGGTTCGATCCAGAGCTGATTCCATTGGAGGCAGTTCTACAGCTCCCAGGAGTCCGAATTCCACGCTTCTTCGAGCTCTTCACGAAGATTCTTCTGCGGTACGGGGGTTGGAAAATTATTGAGAACAACATTATCGTGAACACCAGCCTGGTCGTTCTGGGCACGATCTTCGTCCAGATCCCGATCACCAACTTCAGTGATGAAGTGATCTATTCGGTATGGATGAGCGTGGTGTACTGCCTGGATTCCTGTTTGCAAACCTATTCTCAAGGCCGCCAGAGCGTGTGTCTGGAGCCCCCGAACTACGGCGAGGGTGCGGATAATCTGCTGGAGTACATGAACCGCGACGTCGACGAGCAGTCGACGATCACAGTGACGACCGAGCTGATCGTGTATCTCTTCTGCTTCCTCTTCCTCCACGCGCAAGTGCAGGAGGAGCTGAAGAAGGACTACGCGCTGCAGACGATGATCCAGCTGATGGAAACGAGCGTGGAGCTGTACGCGCTGCAAACGCTGTTCTTCTACGCGTACGGCCATGCGATTAGCAAGCGTAGGAGCTCACGGAGGGGGTGAAGAGCAGACGCGGAGATGATTAAGACGGAACTGTCGCTGCTGGTGGCTCGGCATATCATCATGCATTTCAACGAGTTCGTGAAGGTAGGAGGAGAGGAGGATGAGATTGGATGACCGGTAGCATTGTCTGGAATACAAGGATGAGTTGGACATCGTGGACAGCGTCGGAACCAACGTCCACTTCTCGTCCTCGTTCGTGTACTGTCTCGGTGCGATCTGCTCTATGATGAATGGTGGGCATTGGAGGACGGATTAACGCGCAGAGACGCTGGACCAGGTTTTCCAAGGCGAGCGCTACGCCTTCTTCCAAGTGTTCAAAGCGTGTCTGCAGCAAGTTCTCGTCTCCTACCAGCAAGCCTCCATGGAGAGCGACCGCGAAGACTTCCTCTTCGTCCTCCAAGACTTGCTGCGCTTGCTGGCCGTGATGACGTACGACTCGGTGCTCTGCCAAGCGATCGCCAGCGCGGACATCGAGAACACCAACGCGCTCCTCGCCTCCCAGGAGAACGGACTCGACGATTCCGTGGAGCGGCCGTCCTCTACGGATATGGAGCTGCTTCCCCTGCTGTGCTCGATCCTCGCGGAGGTTCCCGACAGTCTCTGCGCCATCCTCATCAGCTGCATCCTCCAGAACATGTCCTCCTGCAGTCGTGATCAATCGTCTTGCTAACACGCAGAGAAGCTGAAGGCGTGCCTCACGGTCAAGCACCAGTGGTTCTCTCTGCTCGGCACGGTGATCCAAAACGAACTCAACACGGTTGAGAGCGGCAACCACACTCCCTTCGGCCTGGAGCAGCTTCTCTTCATTCCGCAAGAGGCCGTGGAGCAAGCCAAGGACAATCTCCTCTATCTGACGTTCCTTCTGGACCATCTGCTGCGCGCCGCCAGCAATCTGGCCTGTCTGGACCGTACGCCCTTCGTCGGGATTGGTGAGCGTAGACAAGTTCGCGAACGTGGTGTTCCAGAGCGCGTTGTGGACCTCCGGAGACCTGCTCCGCGTGCTGGGACTGGTCCATTACGGCGCGTCGATGACGGTGACCGTGCTGATCTTCGTGAAGGTGGTGATGATGCAAGAGGGAGGCGCGTCCCTCGAGACGATCCAGCAGATTCTGGATAGCGCGAAGCTCGGTTTGCGTGAAGAACTGAGCCAGATGCAGCAGAAGCAGGACCACGTCGACGAGAGAGCGGCGCAGGAATACGCGCAGACCTCCGCGAAGGCGCAGGAGTGGATCCAAACGATCGAGAGCGCGCTGCAGGGCTCAGGTGGCTCTTCGACGCCCGTTTGATTTGTAGGAAGCGAAGAAGGCGAGTCGGAAACGAATCTGGCGACGCTGATCACTCCGATCCCCGACAGCGAAATCTCCTCGTTCTGTAGGTGATGAAAGAAGGGGATCACGGATAGTATTGACGTACTCGCTGAGTCCGATGTCGGTGGCGGCGTGCTACCAGGAAGTGAACAACATGCTCACGATGGCGTCGATCTTCCTCGTGAAGGAGGGCGAGGTCCCCAACATGGACAGCGATCTCTCCGTCGATTTGTTCCTGCCTCTCGAGGCGATCTGCACGTCGTTCGATCTCATCGTTCCTTATTTTTTTCTCTCTCGTGATGCGTGTAGTTCAGCAACCAGAACATCGTTTCGATCGAGTACGACAACATGATCATCAATCCGTATTCGCGCCTCAACGAGCACATCAATACTCTCCAGTCCGTCATCGTCATCGTCACGCGCAACCCGCTCCAAGCCATGGACAGCACCGCGCACACGCTCTACACCGCCAAGAACCGCTCCAACCGGAGGATTATTCCGCTCGGCAATACCGAGACCCTGCAGCGCAGCCTGTTCAACATGATCAACGAGCACACGCTGAAGCTGATTCCGCTCGAGACGGAGGCGATTTCGGACGGCGAAGAGAAGGAGAACGAAGGCGAAGGCGACGGAGACGCGGCGTCTCCCAGCCCCGCCGCGTTCCAGATGGTCTACCCCAACCCTCTCCGCGCGAGCAACCGCTCTCTGCGCTCGATGCGGGAGCTGGAAGCGATCGGGGAGTCGGACAGCGAGGACAGCTCGGATAGTTCGGACATGGAGCACGCGATCGACGAGGTCGAGGCCACGCTGCCCGCGTTACCCAAGCTGCCCATGGCGATCTCCACGATCCCCGAGGATGTCGACGAGGAGGTGGAGGCCCAGCGCGAGGACGCGGCGAGCCCGTCCGAGCACGCGCCGATGCAGATCCGGAACCCCTACCAAGACGGAACGATCCAGCGCGAGCTGTTCAACCAGCTGCTGCAGAACGGGACGCTGACGGCGAAGACGGACATGATCGAGAGCTTCCGCGTGGTGATGCGCGATCTGGCGGCGGAGCGGGAGTACCAGCCCATAGCGCACGTGTTCGACATGGAGGAGGACAACAGCAGGGTGCGGATGAAGATGCGCCGCATGATCAAGAACCTCCACAACGATCCCTATTACGATCGACGTAGGCGTCTCTAACTCTCTGCTCTGTAGACTCGCTGATCATTCTGGACTTCATGAACTGCGGTGGCATCGATCGGTTCTGGTACGTGCTGCAGTATCTCATCAGCAATCTCTCGGGTAGCCGCCTCGCCTCGCCTCGCCTCTCACCTCTAGCCTACACGATCGAGGACTACGAGCCAGTGCTCCGCGGCTGCATCGAAAACCTTCCCGCGAAGCTGGACGCCACCGACTACCAAACCTCCCACAACGATCTCTTCCTCGTTCTCAAGTATCTGACCGACTGCAGCAAGCTGAGTCCGCGCGTGGAGGGCGGCTGACGCGTAGAGAAGGCGCTTCGTCTCTGCGTGGTCCACGAAGGAAACTATTTGGTGAGCGCGCTGCGCAAGTTCCACGAGCTCTGCAAGCAGGATCGGTTCGAGGTGTACCAGACTAACTGCCTGACGCCGATCGTGGCGATTTTGCTGGCGATTGTGAACGACCGTATGCGGAATCGGAGGGGCGTTAGCTGTAGCGGAGATGAACACCAGCATTGTGCGATGCAACGGAGCGGAGCTGCTGTGCGATTTGTTCCAGTGCCAGCATATGCGGAACAAGCAGATTTCGGCGCTGTTGAACTTGGTGGCCGTGACAAAGACGATGATGAAGGAGATGCCGGAGGAGGATAAGAGAAACGTGAAAGACGCGATTCGAACGATGGTGGATTATGTGGATGATGAAACATGCAAACGACGACTCCAGCGAATGATTATGTGAATTAGGTGATTTGTGTGTGTCTTTCGGATTGTTTGTTGGAGAAAGGAGAAAAGGACACAGGGTACATTACGTTCGGACAAGAGGAGAAATCAAAATAACAGCATCGCCTCGCAAGTAGAGCGCTTCGAAGTTTCGAACCACATTCTTCTTTACCTCGTTGTTTGTCTCCGGATCGACGGTCACAATCGTCTGAGTCTCCTTTGCGTTTGAAACAACCATATTCAAGTGCTGATCGTATGCCTATTCATCTTATCAATCTTACAATCCCGTACGAGCAACTTTCCGCGAATCTCGCGGCCATGACGGCACTTGATGACAACTTCCTCATCGAGACTGAGTCTGATAAGGTCCTACGCAGAATCATAACCACCACGGAATGCTGTACAAAGGGCTGGCTCACCGAACTGCTCATACTTTTTGAACAAGGAAAATGTGCCAAACAAACAATCCACTAAAGCGAATTAGTATAGTTACCACTTTTCAAACCCTTCTTCATCTGATACAAGGTATCCTGGAGTTCCTTCTTCTCCCGCATTAACTCCTCCAATTGTTCAGCCGGCGCATTATCCTGCTTTGCATTCCGTATTTCAATGTCAATCTGCTGAATATCGAACATTTTTTCCGCAATCCTATACTCCAGCTCCCCCTTCATTTTCTCGGTATATTCCCCGATTTTCTTCTGCATCAGCGATTTGGCCGCCTTCTCATAGTCGATATTATAGCGGGATCGCAGCACTTTGTATGTCATATCACCATACATTGTGGGGAACAATTGAGAATAATCAATATTAAGATCACCATCAGGAGCATGATTAGCATCATTATCATCAGCTTCTTCTTCTTCCTTTTCTTCCTTTTCTTCTTCTTCTTCTTCTTCATTCGTATCGAATAACGTCGTATCCCCTTTGTGATTTTCGATCCATTCTTTCTTTGCTTCGGAAAGCCGAGTCTTGAATTCCTCCATCGAGCCCTTCTTCTTTTGCACGACATCCAACGCGAACAGCAAAAATTCATCGATGCTCATCACCCGGTTGAGCCCAGGAAGCGCTTGCAAGCTCGGAGACTCCCAATCGGATATACATAAGGTCTAATCAAGAGAATGAAAGAGGAGGGTACGAGATACGATCCAGAAGATAGCGATTCAATGCATTCTTCTGGAATTGAACCGACAACCTATCTGTGAGGAATGCGAGAGAATAAAACGGTGGTGAGGAAATCGACAGCATCTTGGCGGTACACACCGTTCTCTGCGGTTAAGTGCACAATCAACCCATACCAAGTAGAAAATCCATGGCAGTGAAAGTTTCTCCCAGCATTTTCTTAATATCTGAAGAAGAATTCACTCTCTATCCCTCGAAAGACTCTGCAAATCTTACAAAAACCCGGTAGGGACTCTGTTCGTCGACAGGGAACCATTTTGTCAAGCACTGCCGAATGTAGGGAGTATAATACAAGATTTTTTCATCCATATAGTCTCGAAACCACCTATTGGAGGCGTAGGTATTAATTCCGTAGCCAATCGGAACAATAACAGCAACTCCTCCAATAATCCACGGCGACACAATCCATTTGGACTTCTTTTTCGCATTTGCAAACTGGCGTTGGAGACTCAACCGGTTCATCGCTGAAAATGTAGGGTGCCCCCTGCTCGCAAACCTAGACAACATAATGAATTCAAATAAAAGTCTAAGACAGAGGTCGCGTCCAATTTGGAGCTTCCAGAAATCGGCACTATTTTGTCATTCTATTTGAGTTTGTCACACCTTTTTGCTGAAGTGATCGAGCACAATGCTACGTCTAACTGAGTATTTTTGAGAGTAGGAGTACGATGTTAGAGTGCTTCCCGCTCCCGTAAACAAGTATGTGGAGGTGAAGAAACAGGAAGTATCAAAACCGAAAGCAAAGAAGGTATACAACATTCCGCCCTATGGGCAGCGTGAGAACTATGTTCCTCGTACCCTTGAGGATTTTGGTGACGGAGGTGCTTTCCCTGAAATCCTTATACTCCAATACCCTCTCGACATGGGCCGATCGGACCGAGCCGGTGACACGCGTGTCGTAACGGTAGCGACCGATGAAGACGGCGTTCCTGATTTCCAAAAGAATCTACTGAACCAGGGATCGAACAAACAGATGATCGTTCACACAAAAGTGTCTTCTCTGATCGGGTCTTCCGCGGAAGGTTTTTTGGAATTGCGCGTTCCCTCACCCACAGACGACGACCTCGCCCGTCCCTCCGACGAGGCCATCGCCGCGCTGACCCAAAAGACGCGCGAGGCCATGGAGAAGAAGGTAAACCGCAAGATCGCTTACGCGCTTCCCGGCAAGCTCCCCGAGGGCTCTCTTCCCGGCGACGTGAAGCCCGCGGAGTTCTACAAGTATTCCCACCCCATCGCCTCAATCGAGATACACCCCCGTGGAGCCATTAACCGGCCGCGTGCTCGACCAGCGCGTGATTCACATGGTGGAGGTCGAGCAGGACCCGCTGGACCCGCCCAAGTTCCGCCACCTCAAAGTTCCCGCTGCGTTCAACGACGACCCGGTGCCCATTCTGCACTCTCCCCCGCGGAAAGTGACGGTCCAGGACCAGCAGGACTGGAAGATTCCGCCGTGCATCTCCAACTGGAAGAACGCTCGCGGGTACACGATCCCGCTGGACAAGCGTCTGGCGGCGGACGGGCGCGGGCTGCAGCAGACGGTGGTGAACGACCGCTTCGCGACGTTCGCGGAGGCGCTGCAAGTGGCGGAGAGCAAGATGCGCGAAGAAGTCGAGCTGCGAAACAGCATCGTACGGCAGCAGAAGGAGAAGGAGCGGCTCTCGCAGGAGGAGCTGCTGCGTCGCCGCGCGCTGGAGGTGCGGCAGCAGCACGAGGACCGTCGCCGGATCGATTCCGCCTCGTTTTTCTTTTTCTTTTTGGTTGATTATCGCAGAGAAAACCCCGAGGATCGCGAGGCACGACGCGAACGCGACCGGCAGCGCGAGAAGCTGCGGCGCGAGGCGGAGCGGGACCTGCGTCGGCGCGCGCAGGGCCGTCGGACGCAGGAGGAGCGCGAACGGGAGCGCGACATCAGCGAGAAAATCGCGCTGGGCCAGGCGGCGGTGGCGAGCAACAGCGGCGTGACATTCGATTCGAGGCTGTTCGACCAGAGCGGGGGCATGGGGAGTGGAATGGCTGCCGATGATGGTAGAAACGGGGAAACGGTGGAACGTAGAATATAATGTGTACACGAAGCCGCTGTTTATGGACAAGATGGAGACGAGGTATCGCGTGGATGAGGCAGAGACGATGAAGTACACGCAGGACGATGTGATGAAGGCGGCGGAGCGGGGCGGAGCGAGGAGCGAGCTCGATGTCGAGGAGGAGAATTATCGGAAACGAGCGAGTGCGTATTCGGGGACTGTAGAGGTAGGCGAGTCGAAGGGGTGCGATGTAGTTTACGGATGGCGTCGTAAACTCGGAGAAACGTCATAAAAAAGAGGAATAGTGTTGTTTGTTGGAAACTTGGAATCCCCGCGGAAGGGAGCGGATTGCATTATTATCTTAGAACGTGCTATTTCGCTTGGTAGGTGGTGCAGTGATGGGGTAGAACACACGCGGAGGGAGGAATTGGTTTTCGCCTGATGTTGATAGTGGTCTTGGTCGTTTGGTCGAACGAGCTTCTTTCTAACGCTGCTTGTAGAGGAACCGAAGCGATGCCCCCACGTGGATCTCGTAGACAGCATATTAATGATGAGTATACCGAGGAAAGCGATAATAGCTCATACAAACGGCGAAGAAAGGAGCCGTTGCACCAGGAAAATGATAGCGGGAGCGAAATGCCAACCACTCATTTTGGTACTTCTTCAGAATGCGTTTTTATGGTATAGATGAGGTTGACTATGAGGAGGCTGTTGCGGCGTTGCGCAAGCAGCACGACGATAGCTTGATCCTCATCGAAACTGAGCACCAAATGCGTATAGACTCCGCCAACAAGCTGGCCAAGTTTGAAGAAGAGCGCCTGCAGCGTTTTTTTGAAGTAAGACGGCGCGATTGGCTGGTAACTAGAATGAAGTAAAAGAAATCAAACGCAAAATCTCCGAGGAAAAGGCGGCATCGCTAAAGCGGACCTCGGAGGGTATCTGTATGTTCCTTTTTTGTGAAAATGCGAGTATCTAACGAATAGACAGAAAACACCGTATTTTGCCACCCAAGAATGATGATCATGGACTGAGCACGAAGAGTGGTTGTCTTCGTTTTGTTTCATTGTAGAGGAAGATTCCACGCTGTCTGTGTCGCTTCCAGAGAGCGACGTGATCGATGATATCCGCTATATGGTGAGTGAATGGTACAAACTGTCGCGCGCGAACAATCTGAGTATGCCTTGTTTTGGAGTCTTTAGAAGATTCTGCGAACGTTGTTGTGGTTCTTCCGGGGAACAGACTGGTGATTAACGATTGCTACGTGGAGGCGGGAATGGCGTGTTTAATGAAGTACGGCACGGACACGATGCAAGGTCAGTTCATTTCTGCGGATCAAAAGGAGGTAGGAAAGGGTGATGTCTCGGAGGTAGTTCATGTTCAAACCCGAGAAGGAAAAAAGAAAAAAATACCCGTTAGAGCTACTACGAAGTGGAGCGATTCTCTTGTGCCCTGTAAAATCAGAATCGGAGCTCATCCAAGAATAGGAGTTTCATTTTGTGTTGTTTGTTTGATTGCCATAATCTCTTCTTTGTACCATTTTACCAACCTCACTTGGCTGCGTTGGGTCTGTCTATATGTCATGGGTACTTGCATCTCGAAATCGGACACGGAAGACTTTTCTCCTTGTAGGACGAGTAATATGATGTGTGACCAATCTAGTATCAAAGTCAGACTACCAAACTCTGAAAATCCAGTTCTATGTAGGTCGGAGCGTTGCCTTGGTCATAGCTAGGCTCTTGCTTATAATCGAAGTAAAGAGGGTTATATATTGAAGGAAGACTTCCTTCGTTTATTTAACCTGCCTGGTTTACTGGGCGGTGTGGTATTTTGGGATGTTGTGATGTAGAACGACTCTTTGTGATGTTCGATGTGAATCGAGATGAGAAAATCTATTGGACAGATTTTATGCGAGGTTTGAAGCAATGTATGTTTGCTGACGAATCGGAGCTCGATGGGTTTATCTTTCATTTCTTTAGTCTGAATGAGTATGCGATCGCTCCATTTTTTTATTTTTAGTCGTATCGATGTTGAGTTTGAGGAGTTTCAGACAATTATGCAACATCTTCCTCCCAGCGTTCTCTACGTGGTTATCAAGTCATCCGAAAACCGCAGCACAGAGTGCGAGAGTAGTTTCGCGCTTTCCTCGTGATCCCTAGAATGGTGTCAGAAATACGTGAATCATCTCGATGACTTGGTAATTCTCGAGCACTCCCTTCATTCTAGCCCTCCGCAGCCATCCAAGAAGGCATCATGCTTCTCCTCATCGCCTACTTCCAGAGCAACGACTACGACGTTTCTCCTTTTCCCCCATTGAACAGCAGAGTTGCACCACCATCAACTTCCACGACTTCTCCGTGTTTCTCCGCGAGCAGCCGCAGCTGCGCGACTACTTCCGCGTAGTTCTCCGTTTCCCCGTTTCCCCTAGTCAATCTTCAGCGTGGTGATCGGGATCTCCCCCACGCCGCCTCTGCCGGCCCCGCACTCGCTGACGCACGCGACGCCGGCGTCGGACACGATCAAAGAGCCGTCGTACGACGGTTCCATCGACCCGGAGGTGTACAACACGCGTCGCGAGCGCTGTCTGGAGCGCACGGGGCACCCCGAGAAGTACTTCGGGTTCACGCGCGCGTACTGGAGCATCGCGTGCACGCACTGCCACAAGGAGGTGCGGTTCTGCTGCATGTGCCAAGGCGAGCTGCGGCCGGTGGAGAAGGGAGTGAAGGACGGGATCCATCGGCTGCAGTGCATCGAGTGCCACCGCGTGGTCACCATGCGCTACTGCTCCGCCTGCGGACATCAGTTCGAGGACACGGTCGTCGACGCGCGCATGGAGATCCCCGGCGTGAACGTAGCGCTGAGCGAGGGCTTCGAGGTAGGTGGGAACGCAGAAACACACCGGGGAGCTGTACAAGCAGTCGCATTTCTCGGGGATGACGAAGGTCTACGCGCGGCTGCAGAACCATTTCTTGTATTTGTTTAACACACCCGCGGCCGATGTGCCCAGCATGGCCTTCTTTTTGGACAAAGCCACTGTGCAGATGTGAGCATTCAACCCACCCTTGAGAATAGAGTGCCCGACGCCAAGAACGCGAAGTACTTCGGCTTCACTCTGCAGTTCCCCGCGGCATACGACCAGACCTTCTACACCACGACGGAATCCGACCGAGCGAGCTGGGTGAAGACGATCGAGGAGGCGTCGGGCGTGCGGCGCTTCGGCGACTTCTACGACCTGCGCGAGAAGATCGGCGAGGGGCGTTTCGCGGAGGTGTACCGCGTAGGATGGAAGTCGCTGGGTGGTGGTGACGTGCAGTGTATCGAGAAGAAATCGCGGAAGGAGTACGCGGTGAAAGTGATCGCGAAATCGAAGCTGACGGAGAAGGAAGCGCAGCTGATCCAGACGGAAATCGCGAATTTGTCGCTGGTGCAGCATCCGAACATCGTCACTCTCATCGAAACCTTCGAGTCCCCGCACGTACTGGCTTCTCTCGCAGAGTTTTATGCGCAGCATATGTACATCGTGATGGAGCTTCTGCGAGGCGGCGAGCTGTACAGTAATATCTGCGGACGAGCGATTTTGAGCGAGTTGGAGGCGTATCAGATCATCGCTCCGCTCACCAATTGCTTGTGTTATCTGCACAACATGGGGATTATTCATCGCGATATCAAACCTGAGAATATTTTATGCAACTCCAGTTTGTTTGATGTTAAAATCGCCGATTTTGGGTTCTCTAAACTCATTTTCCCGCGGGAAAAGCTCGACTATCCTTGCGGAACGCTCAACTATATCGGTTTGGCTTGATGAATGTGCTGAGGGGTAGCTCCGGAAGTCATTACAAGGAAGGGATACACGACGAAAGCAGATATGTGGTCGCTGGGAATCATTTTTTACCTCATGTAAAAATAGTGCCGATTTTTGACATTCCAGATTACGAGGCAGATTGCCTTTCGACGGAAAGACGAAGGAGGAGATTATTGACCAGGTGATTCACATCGAGCCGGACTACAATAATAAGTCTTTTTTGCGTCTTTCCAAAAATGTGCCCGATTTTTGGAATTTTAAGAAATAGTGTCAAGACGCGATAAAAGGCCTGTTAAACAAGAATCCGGACTACCGATTCTCCGCAGAAGACTTGTTGCATCATCCCTGGTTCAGCGACATGCAGCGAGAGCTTGAGCAGCAATCTTCACATCATGCCTCCGATCTGTCCGATGAAGTTCCGGCCTTGCGTCGAGAAGAGCGAACGGGAGTTTCGGATGTCTCGAAGGTGTTGGGCGTAACGTTTCCCGCGGGGATCGACGATTCGGAGTGGGTGCGGAGCGAGAAGGAAGAATTGGATTCGCTAGCGGCGCTGTCGTTCCGATTGAATCCGGAGGCCGTAACACCCGATAATGAAACGCCTCAGAAGAATAAGGAGGCGGGATTGGAGTGTCGGGAAGAAGGAGAAGAGGTGAAGGAATTGGCGAATGAGTTGAAGGAGAAGTCAATGAGTGAATTGAATGATAAATCTGTGAATGAATCAACAGAGGAGCAATCGAGTGATAAATCAAAAGAGAATTCATTGAATGACGAAACATCGAATGAAAAAGCATCGAATGAGTCATCGAATGGTAAAGCAATGAACGACAAAGCATCGAATGATTCATCGAATGACAAAGCATCGAATGACTCCCGCGATGTTCCCTTCCCTTCGACTCGTGGTTCCAATCATCCTGAAAGCGAAGTTTCCGCTGCTGCACACAGCGGCGATCCCCCTTCTCCTTCTCCTTCTCCTTCTCCTCCCTCACCGATCCACTCAAACCAACGTGAAGTCGACAGCCTCGCCGACCCCGGAGCAAATCCACCCTCTGCAGGAATGCACGAATCGCCGCCCCATTCCTCGCCCATCTCTTCCCTCCACGCGACAGAAGCGGTTCCTCCCTCTGCCTCGCAGTAACTCATCTTCATTGTCTTCGGTTTGTTCACAAACACTCGCAACGAAACTACATCGTTCTCATAAAAACAAACTCTTCCTTGATATGCTGCTTCACAAACTCCGGAACTTCGTTGCTTCCCTTACACGCTCGCTCGATCTGCTCACGGATTTCTTCGTTTGAAACCCATTCCCGGGGGATTGGGACGGGAAAACACCACACATTTCTACCCTTCACTCCTCTGCTCGCTCCCCTACACATTCTGGCGCACAACCAGCTTCGCTCCCAGCTTCTTCATCCAATGCAGAACGGGAGCATTCGCAGGATTTACCACTGCATAAAGCGTGTGAATTCCCGCGTTAAAAGCTACCTGAGAAATGTAATAAAGAAGGCAGGAGCCGATGGTATTACAGTGATACGGGTCCGCAACAATAGCGGCCCACTCGGCCCAGTCCGGCTGGTCGTGCTCGCGAATCACACGAGCGGTGGCTATCGTTCGCCATTCGCCATTTTCGAATACATTGCAGCACACGGCCATATGATCGCACATATCAACATTTGTTAAATATTGAAGGAGACTGTCGCTTACAGAGTCGAGAGGTCGATTAAAACGGAAGTGAAGACTTCGCCGAGAAACATCGCCACGGCGAATTGCTACACGGTATGAAAAACAGAAAAAGCGTACTATCTTGTAAATGACGGAACTCATAAGGAAAAAGAGGAACAAACGCGCAATTCACTATTGATTTTTTCCCCGTTGTAAAGCTTGACATTAGAGACGAACAAATAGACTACAATGCGCTGTAGGAAGGAACGATCTCAACAAGTTTAGCTTCCAGCTCTTCCAAGGGCGGTAATCTTGGATGTTCCAGCCACTTTTTATTGCGGTATTGGTTCCAAACGACCGAAAGAGGACTTCGTGATAACTCACGAAGACATAAGCCAATGCTAGCCTCGTTACTACGGTCCTCATCTGTTTCTGGAACAGGACTCGTAGCTCTCTCTTCACGCATTGTTATGCAATCCATGATTCTTTCGCGAAATCCTCTTCGATCACGCGTTTCATCATATACAGACTTGTCTCCCATAACCTTTTCCTATTATTATCTAGAGCGATAATAAACAAAAGAACGGAAAATATGTGTTCGTTTTGTCTCTGATCAATAATTGTTTTCACTGTGTGAAAGGACTACCGAGATAGGATCTAGAAATAGAAGATCTGTCTAGAATAAAAAGGGAACGTTTTAGGTTTCGAACAGAAGCAAACAAGAACTTTTTGGGAGGTTAAGAGTGAAAAGAATAATAAGGATTAGATTGTTGTTTTTGATGTGTTTTGAAGAGCGTTATGTTTACAATATACTCGATAGGTGGTAGGGAGTTAGAAACCCTGTCGTTATTGTCGTTTGATATCATAATCGGCTCTCCATGGTAGCTAACAAGTATAGATACAAATCCTAAGCTAGAAAATGCATGAAAGTGAGGGGTTTTACAATTTTCTTTAAATGGCAATCGAAATAGTCTAGATTCAACAGATCCTTATAGTCCTATAGCATTTTGAATTATCAACCTATTTTCACATTAAATCACGATTGTACAATACAGCGTACAAACAGTATAAAAAGATCAGGGTCTCTTCTTGGTTTCATCCACTTATTCATATTTTAAGCCTAAACAAAGGAAATGACAATTAGAAGAAGTAGATCAAATCTTTGGGTGCAGGGTATGTAATACGATGTAGAATTGTCAGAACAGCATCGATGATAATAGTGAACGATGAAACAATAAACTGAGAAGCATGCAGAACACAAAATATTAAAACTAAAACCCAAATTATGGATTTTAAAAGTAGAGGAACCGGATAACAAATAAGAAATAGATGGGCTTGAAAATCTGAAGGGAAGCGAATTTCTCTTGGATGGTTACATTACCCTTGGCGAACCAAAAATAATTCGTATGGATGGTTCAAACTATAGCCTCCAGTATTATCAAGGCGAACATGAAGATGAATACATCCTGAAGAACGATGGGAGAGTTTGCTTATTCCATAACGGAATACTCAAAATGGCTTACGAAGTAGACGAGGAAGATTCTCAGATTGGGGATTTTACTCGCTTTGAGAATGGTCGGGTTGCATTTGTTCAGTCGTTTGGTGATATTCTGGATAAGCACAATTTTTGTCGTATTGTAAACCATGCTCGAGGCGAGCGGATGGAGATCTATTCTCATGAGACTGGGAAGTTGATTTATCATGGGGAATTTAACGAGCGAAGAGAGAAGGAAGGAAGAGGAATTCATTATGACGAAAAGTCGGGTCGGATGCTGTTTGAGGGAGTGTGGAGACGGAACAAGCTTGTGGAAGTCATACGCAAGATTGAAGGCAACATTATGACGGAGTTTAAACGAAACGGAGACAATACCATTGTAACCAATCGAATTCCCGTATATGTGGGCGAATTCACTTACGATGAATCGAAAGAATCGTTTATTCGAAATGGTCGAGGTTATTTTATTGATGAAGAAACTCGGATTGCTTATAGAGAATGCGAATGGAAGAATGGAAAGGAAGTGAGTGGAAGAGATCTGTATGATGGGTGGTACACTCGCTCGACAAGGCCTAAACCCTTACCGGTATTTGAACCTGCTCCTAGACCTGACCATGCTTCAATCGCGATCAATGTCAGTGGAAAGATGAAGCTGAGCGACGTGAGTTTTCAAGTGACCGATTTGACGATTTCGTCGAATTGCTGTAACGATGCGAGTGCGTTGGATTTGAGTCGATTCGAGTGGCTGCGATCTATCGAAATCGGTAACGACTGCTGTAGATCCGTGAAAACATTCCAAATCGATGGGTTGAATCGATTGAAAAGTCTGAAAATCGGTAAGAATTCGTTTACTCAGAAAAAGAATGGTGTTAGTAATGATTCCTCGAAATCATTCCACATATTGAATTGTGAATCATTGGAATCGATTCAAATTGGTGAATATAGTTTCAGTGATTTTGCTGGAGACTTTGAATTGAAGAATCTACCACAATTACAATCCATTCAAATTGGTACAATTAGAAGTTATTCATATAATTTCTCTTTTAGTTCATTTGTAATTCGAGGTATTGATATGATATTGAATATTTGAATGATGCATAGATCTTCCAAATCTACAATCCATTACATTAGGTTATGGTGCATTTTATTCTAGTTCATTTGTGATTCGAGGTATTGATATGATATTGTATATTTGAATGATGCATAGATCTTCCAAATCTACAATCCATTACATTAGGTGCTGGTGCATTCCGTTATTCCTTATCGACAATAATTGAAAGTATTGAATGAATTCGAATGAAATGATTGATGTAGATCTTCCATCATTACAATCCATTCAACTCGGTGAATATGCACTTGAAGGAAGATGGGATGATGATTCAAGTTCATTGACACTTCGAAGTAATAATGAATTGATTGGTTATGATTTGTTTTGTAGATCTTCCAAATCTAACATCAATAACTTCTGAATGGGCTAGTTTCGAATATCCTCGTGCAGTGACATTGGAAAGTATTTCTGAATATTGAATATTGATGATATTTAGATATTCCAAATCTTCAAAATGTCAAGCTACCTGGTTCATTCCAGACTGTCATTTATCCAGTTGTAAAAAGTAATCCGTGTTGTTATTGTTGATTTTATCCTAGATGTACATCATGAACTTACTCATTTCTTCCCCACAACAATTTACAATTTTGATTTCATTCAATCAATCGATTCATTAATAACATCGATTACCATTCCGAATTGGACTTGTAATGATATTGATTATACAACATTTGATTTTTCACGATTTTCTCGAGTTGAATCAATTGAAATCGGCGATGATTGTTTTGGTTCAGTACAAACATTCCAAATCGATGGATTGAATCGATTGAAAAGTTTGAAAATCGGCAAGAAATCATTTACTCAGAATAAGAATTTATATAGAAAAAATGAATCGAATTCATTCCACATATTGAATTGTGAATCATTAGAATCGATTCAAATTGGTGAGCATAGTTTCAGTGATTTTGCTGGAGACTTTGAATTGAAGAATCTACCACAATTACAATCCATTCAAATTGGTACAATTAGAAGTTATTCATACAATTTCTATAATAGTCCATTTGTGATTCGAGGTATTGATATGATATTGAATATTTGAATGATGCATAGATCTTCCAAATCTACAATCCATTACATTAGGTTATGAAGCATTCCGTGAATCCTTCTCAACAATAATTGAAAGTATTGAATGAATTCGAATGAAATGATTGATGTAGATCTTCCATCATTACAATCCATTCAACTCGGTGGGTATGCACTTGAAGGAAGATGGGATGATGAATCAACTTCCTTGACACTTCGAAGTAATAATGAATTGATTGGTTATGATTTGTTTTGTAGATCTTCCAAATCTAACATCAATAATCAATTCTAAAGGATATAGTTTCTATTATCCTCGTGTAGTGATATTGGCAAGTATTTCTGAATATTGAATATTGATGATATTTAGATATTCCAAATCTTCGAAATGTCAACCTACCTGGTGATCAGTGGAATCGTTCATTCGAATATGTTCGATCGAAATCAATTTCGAGTATAGTTTGATTGATTTGATTTGATTCATAGATGTTTCTTCTATTCTAGCTGATCTTGTCAAAGTCAAGAGATGGTGATTCCAGCATCGAATCTACACACTTCATTCCAATCCATTCCAATCCATGCAATGATCATTGCATATTCAATGCTTACTTTGTTTGTTTCTTTCTTTGTTCCAAATCCCTTACCATCATTCTTTGGTCATTGATTTAGGACCCAATCATCGATTGACTCTTTTCCGTCATCACAACCCAGATTGGTTTAGCTAGCATGTTCCAATCCTTCGTGTAACGATGTTAAGAATGAAAGTAAAGAATTTAAGAGAAATGAAAGAGCTGAACTGAGACAATCCAGTATAGTTCAATGTTCAAAATAGAAATGTGTTATACTTGACAAATCGCTAGATTATAAACGATTGAATTGAGACGATCGAGTGAATGAACTGGATCGTACTGGATAGTCTCAGAAAATAGTGATTTGAATTGTTATATGATTGAGGAGCGAAATGGAAATGAAGTGAGATGATTCAATACGATTTGTGTGTATTGAGTGATGATATGTGTAATCTGTATAAAATTATGTCGTAATATTACACTGTATTAGAGTTGAGTTTCAAAACGAATTGTGTAGCCATTCGAGTGCTATTAGGAATGGAAAACTGACAGACAGATGGAATAGTATAGAAACATGAATGAAATTGTGCAATGAGAGTCAAAAATGTACTGAGGATAGGGAGTTTCATTCAATCACATCAGAAATCATTTTTTACATTTGTTCTTACCATTTTCTTACAGCAACATTATCAGCTCAAATCAATATATTCAAAGAGATACTCTGCCAATTTTGCAGTGAGAGTGAAGGTTCGTGAGTTTAGTTATTTTCTCTTGATTTTATCACCAACGCAAAAAGTAAAAATACTCTATTCACAGTGATAATTACGGCACATCCATATGAGTTTATTGATTTCAATATACATTCATTTCTTCTGTACTATTATACTGATTCCCACTTCACCTATTAAAAAATAGCCATTTTTAATGAGTAGATTGCAATTCACTTTTAGCCGGTGATAATCACAATCTATTCTATTTATTCCAATCTATTCTTGCATAGCAATATGAAAACTCTAGTAAATACACCCCCTATTCAAACATTGATTCACAGCTGTCTGCAATACAATTCCTGCAATAGATTTCGTAATACTGTATGATTTTGAATGAATAGCTAAGCCTAGCTGGCTTTTTGGTTCAATTGGAGTGTTATGACAATATTACTCTATTTTTCTCCTCAGTAACTTCAAAAAAATGGTTTCTATGTGTATTCATCGATGTTATGTGCACTCTTTTGCATCAGTATTTATTACTGTGAAAGTCACATTTTATTTATGTGCTTTATTCACAGCACGCATTAGTTTATCGCTGCCTGTCTTTTTTCAATTCATAGGATATTTGCTCATAACCTTTTACAATCCCTATTCACAACTGTATTACTACGCTCAGTCCACTACCTTTCCCATCGATCATTACTTGCTGCTCAACTGCCGTTCTGATACTCGTGCAAGTCTCCTTTTTCTTCCAAGTCAGTCACATCACTCAAACTACCTTAGTGGTATTTGATTGGACTCTCAAGTATCGTCTTCCGTACTATTCATTTCAAGCAAATAAAATGATTGTACGCTGAACAGTAAGCTATTACATTGATAGTGCATTGCTTTCTTTATTTCAAATCCATCTACTTGTTTTATCTTTTGTGAGACAGCATAAATGAATGACATAGATTCGTTTTTTAGGGTATTAGGAGTCAATTAATCAACAGATATAACAACCGTAATTATAAGCGACTAAAGTATTTATGCAGAAAAATGAGAGCTGATTGTATTAAGTAACAGCTTGTAATAAAACAAATAAAGAGAGAACACACCACAGATAACTACATTTTGTACTATTTATTCTTAAAACTCTCCTCATTCGTGTAATCATTTTACTTGCTGAGAAGCACACGCCGCATGTTTTGAATATTCATAAGATTCGTGTTTGTTTATCCTTGTATCTTTTTTCTCATATGTATCAATACCAATTACAGTACAAATCATAGTGCCTATATGTGTCATACTCACATTAAAACACATTAAACACTAACCAATGAAATGATTGACTCAGTAATAGATGCCGAATAACGATTCATTTACGTTTTGAATATGCAGATTGATTAATACTTGGCATTCAAAACATGAATGTCACAGTGATTCATAAACTTCTGCCCTAATTCATTATTATCCGCTTGGTTAATCGCTTAGTTTGCACTTTCTACACTCTTTCTAACGATATGAATTACTTCCATCAGGACTACCGATAAGGATCGAAAAGTGAGGCAAGTCTATATACTCAAGCATAGTGAGAGCTCATAATCTTATTATCCCTGGCTATGTAAAGATGTTGGTGTTCAAAAATGTCAGAGTCCAATGTTTAAAGCATTTAATGAATAGCAGCCCTCATATCACGTACAGATCTATCAACTCTCCCATCTTTTTCGAACTTTTTTCGTTTCAATCAACACTCAAAACAATCACATCTTTGACTACAATATTAAACAAATCTCTTATTATTAAATAATTAGTCTCTCAAACAATGGTTTCTAAATGAATTCAACGCCACTCAACTCGATTCAATCCAATTCAATCCAATTCAACCACCAAACATTGCAATTCAACTTAAAGCTTCATTCGCAGCAAGCGATCGTTCTTTTTCAAATCGCCACGACGCCACGATCGGTGCACCAGCTCTTCCTCCGTCGGTTTTCGCAGCGTTCCATCGAGATCGCTAATCACCACGCGCTGATTGGCCCCTTTCGAGATGTCCATAAACGCGATTTTGTACGTGTGCTGCGCCAATCCATCCGCCATCCTCTCTACGCATCATCCCTTCTCTCTCTTCTCTCCCTACTCTCTCCCACCGGAATGCCCTTCCGCTGAATCCGCGGCTCCTTCTCTCGTTTCTGCCGATTCACGATCGCCTCCACTTCCTTCATCACCTTCCGCTCGTCCTCTCCTTCCTTCAAAAACACGAATTTCGGCAGATGCGCCGGCACTTTCCCCGCCTTCCGACGATCCTCATAGCGATAGCTCTGCGGCGGGAAGTCGCGATAGTCGTAGTTCCACGGCGACTCCTTCTCCTCCATCGCATCCACGCCCTCCGCCGCGAACGTTCCCTCCTTCTGATGCCGCGGACGGTCCTGCATCAACCGCAGAATCGCGTACACGCGCCGCTCGTCGAACCCGAACGACTGGCTGATCTCCCGCGGGGACACTCCGCGCTGATACATCGCGTACATCATCTGCCGGTCCTTTTCGTGCACGTAGACCTGGTCGGAATACTCCAACGCGTCCACGATGTGTCCTTCTCCGATCACTTCCGATTCCTCCTCCGGCAAAACCGACGCCGCCTCTTCGCCGTCTTGATCGAAACGCTCCATTAAACGGCTGAACGCGTCGCTCAGATCCGCCGGAGCCGAAGACACAGGCGTTTCATCCATCGTGGTGAACGTGGTTTTGAACGGACTCGACTCCGATTCCCCGGATTCATCCTTGGGCGTTTCGCCCTCGGTTTTGGCAGTTTCACCTTCGGTTTTGGCAGTTTCACCTTCGGTTTTGGCAGTTTCACCCTCCGCCTTGGCAGTTTCACCCTCACTCTTGGGCGTTTCACCTTCGGTTTTGGGCGTTTCACCTTCACTCTTGGCAGTTTCACCCTCCGCCTTCTCGGTTTGATCCTGCTTGGCCTTCTCGGCCTCCTCGGCGCGCTTCTGCAGCTGCTCGATGACTTTCTCCGCGCGCTGTCGCGCCTCCCTGGCCTGCAGCAGCTCCTCGGGGAGCAGCTGGTCCTCGGGGGCCTCGTGCGCCTCGAAGGTCCCCATCAGATAGCGCTCGATGCCGTCCTCCGAGTCCAGCCCCAAGTCCTGCAGCATTTTCTCCGGGTGTTCCACCGAGTAGCCGCTCAGCAGATTGCTCACCAGCTCGGCATCGCCCGCTCGCGCCTTCCACCCTGCCAGGTAGCGCTTCGCGAACACTTCGTCGCTCACATCGCTCGGCTGCCCCACCGCGCGGCGCGCAGCGGCCATGTCCTCCGACGTAATCACCGTGTTCTTCAGCTTCGCTTCCTCGCCAGGCTTGACCTCCGTGTGGTTCATCAGATGCTCGAACTGACTCATAAATCGCTTCTTGTCGCGTGCGAAGTCTGCCACTTCCTGACGGTTGGTCCGCCAGGCGAACTTCACGTCGCCCTCCTTTGTGAGCGCCATTTCGTAGTCCTCGAGCGGCTTTTTGGGGTCGCGAAGCAGCGTGTCCATCTCCGCATCCACGGTGTATTTCGCGTCCACCGCATCCACGCGCTCCTCCTTCGTCAGCGACTCCACCGTTCGATCGAAGTTCTCCTCCAGCTCCTTCGGCTCGCTCTGCTCAAACAGCGCGCTGCTCAACGCAGCGTCCTCCTCGTCCGCGTCCTCCTCCTCCGCGTTTTCCATCTTCTCTCTCATCGCTCTCTCTTCCTCCTCCTTCTCCTCCGCTTCCTCCATCTCCGGAGAGATCATTCGGACTTTCCCGCTGTACAGACCCGCCGCTTCCTTCGAAGACAGTCGGCGCAAGCGGTCAAACAGAAGAACGTCGCGACCCAGCGAGGCGCGCGCCGCCGGACTCAGAGACGACGGCACATGGTCGAAATGAGCGATCTGCTCCGCCTGCTCCTGCGCTGACGGCAGACGCGTGGATTCCGTGTATCCATGGCGATATTCGTACAACGAAGCAGCGTTCCCGCGGGAAGGGAACGGCTTCCCGCTCTTGGCTAAGAGATAATCCAGATCGAAGTCTTCGTAGGCGGTCTCGCGCAGCTTGTCCAGTTCTTGCCGCCTCGCTTGGTACAGTTTTTCGAGCGGAATCGAATACACGTCCATGCTGTCGAGCGAGGAATCCACCTGCTTCGCCGCTTTGGGGATTACTTCGCGACGATGTTTTGCTTGTTTGGATGAAGAAGAAGAAGAAGGCGAGTAGAGATATTCATCGCTCGCCAATTCCGAGCCCTTCGAATTCTTCGACGAATTCAACGCGCGATTCAGCGAGCGAAGCACGAGTTGATGCTCCTTCTTGATTCTTCTCGCTTCTTCTGCAGCGTCCTTCTCGATCGGGTACTCCAATTCCCCGGCGTCGCGCATGCGATGCAGCTCGCGCAGTCGCGAATCGATCGCTTCGATTCGATGCGTGTCCACCCACGGCGCAGCGTTATCAAACTCGCGATTATCGTAGCCTCGCTCGAGCTGCAGATACTGGCGACGAACACGCCGATCTTCCACGGACCGAGCCAACATTTCCAGCTCCAAATCCAACTGGATGTCGCTTCCTGCGTGCAGAGCCGATCCTTCGATCCAATCGCCGATCTGCTTCATGGCGATCAGACCGTCCACGTCCGCAGACTCGTCGCCCTGATTGGGATCATCCGACAGATTTCCCAGCGCTTTCGGGTCCAATTCCATTTCATCTTCGTGGATCTCTTCATTCTTGCCAATCTCTTCCATTTCATCCTCTCCTTCTCCTTCTCCTCCTTCATAGTAGTAATAATCATCCATTTCATTCGGCTCCAATTCCGCTTTCATTTCCAAGGAATCGCTAAAGTCTGGGTCTTGCAACTCTCGTCTCGTCACATCTGTGTGGTAAAACAAGGGCATGTGGTTCGTATATCCATACATCCGATCATTCGTATAGAAAAACCCATCCTTGTTCATCTCTTGCTCGTCCTTGGGAGGAAGATGCTCTTCCACCGTTACTTCGTTCCCATTTGCATCTTTTCCGATCACTCGGTGAACAGTGGGAAGCTTGTTTTCCACTCTTTCACTAAACACGGGAGTCGGGGGATAAGCGTCCAATTTATCCGGCGTTAAGTGAAACAGGAACTTACGAGGGTCCAGATCGTCTTCTGTCAACGGGTGATTATCCACAAGGCGAGTCAACGTCTTTTGCTTCTTCTTCCCCTTCAATTCCAACGCCTCCTTCGAACCCTTCGCATCCTTCTTTCCTCCCTTCTTTGGAGCTGTTTCTTCTCTCTTTTCCTCACTCGCTACAACAGCAGCAGCCATTTCCTGCTTCGGCTCACCAGGCGGGTTGGGATTCACTTTTTCCTTCTTTTTATTATTCTTTCTTCTCTGTCGAGGAGGTTGCTTCTTTAACGCAGACTCTGAAGTGCTATTTTGAGCAACATTGCTCGTAGCAGCAGCAGCAACTGTCTCTCCTTTCTGAACGACATCTGTAGATAGAAAACGACGAACAGGATAACATCTCGCTGTTGTCAAAGCTGCTTTCGCCAATCTGGGTATTCCCCTCAGAATAATCTACAAATTCGATCAGTACAACAATAATGTGTACCCCTGAACTCATCGGCAGAAATAATAAACAACGAGAATAGTCAAACTACTCTCTTCCACCTTTTCCAGAATTCTTGCCTATTTTTGTTATTCAAGAATAAGATCCAAAACAAATTACAATTGTACCCCATTCATCAATTCTCTACTCACTACTAGATGCCAAACCATTATCAAACAAACAAACCATTATACATCAAAAACAAAAATATCTCCACGCAATATATCAATATCCACTGATTTTCCGTACTCCATCATCTTCTCGTCCTGAATAATAAACCGCAACTGCCACTACATCAAACCACTCCCCCAAAACAAACGTCCACGTTAATCGTGTTATTAAGTAGCAAATAGCTGGGACAAACGTGCATATTCTCATTAATAAAAATTCGGAACGGAATCCGCCCGAACGAACTATCATACTCTTCATCTCGCAATTCCGCTGTAATCGTAAAATCTCCCTGGATCGGTTTCTCTTTTGTCTTCTGCGCATCAACCCGCATAATTGTATCCATGATTTCATAGCGCATGAAGCGATCACTACTCAACTCGGTTTTCTTCCTTCCATTCTCGTCTATCCGATCAAATTCACACAGCATTACGACCCTCGCACAAAAATTCTTCCTTTCGAATCAAATCAACGAACATCGCCTTCATTTTGCGCTTGGCCAGAATGATCTCCACCCAACCCGTTATAATATCGTTCACACAAAAGCTTAAGATGAAAGAAGAAATCAACTTTTACGCGCAACGGTCTAAATGGACGCGAAAACTGAAGAGATCAAAGAGATCGAAACATGATGTTAAACCCATCGAAAGAGGGGGAAGCTACACGGAAAAACGAAGAATAAAAACACACTGGCATAGGATTTCGAACTTTAAAATAGGTGCTGAACCTATAGGTGCTACTGGCACACACAACATCGAGAATCAAAAAGTAATTCGCAGACGCAGAGATCCCATCATAGGAGTCAGTGGTGATTGCACAGTTTGGGATGGAGAACTCATACTCCTGAACAAAACACACCCAAATCGAATCTTACTTCTTCTCCCAAAATTACAGAGTCTACAGTAATGCGCTTGTCTTGACAGTCGAGAAACACTTTATTGGTTCCCCCATCTGTTGTTTGCGTGGAAACAGAGTGCTCAATCCTCGAGAGAAGATAGTCCGCCTTGAGTGACTCCTTTCCGCTGGGCTGAATTTGCACTTCTCCTTCAAAGTCATAACTTCGTCCTCCCTAACATTCTCAATGCAAATCCAATCGTATACAAGGAGTACTGCATAGCGCTGCCCATCTTCCACTTCATACGCAATGGGTTTCAGATGGTCCGTAAACAGGCGAAATCTCAACGAGAAATGATCAAACTCTGTCGAATATTCCAAGTATCCTTGATTCATGCGATATCCTACGACTACCTAAACGAAATGATGTCCTGCCGTTTTGAACAAACAAAACACTTAGTCTTTCTTGTAAATCGCTCTCTTCCCGCTCTCCACCGTGTTCTTCATCAGCATCGCGATCGTCATCGGACCCACGCCTCCAGGAACCGGCGTAATCAATCTGCACTTCTCATAGCACTTCCGTTCATTCATTCCACCACACCTACGTCCTTGAAATCGACGTCTCCGCAGAGATGGTATCCTCTCTTGTCCGTGGGATCGTCCACAGCATTCATACCCACATCGATGATCACGCAGCCCTCCTTGATCATGTCCGCCTTCACCAGATTCGCAACGCCCACAGCGGCAACAATGATATCCGCCTTCTGCAGATGCTCCTTCAGATCCGCAGTGCGAGAATGGCAGATCGTCACGGTAGCGTTGCGGTTCAGCAGCAGCATGGCAACGGGAATGCCGACGATGTTGCTGCGACCAATAACAACCGCGTTCTTTCCTGCGATCTCCACACCGTACCGATCGAGCAGCTCGATGCATCCCTTGGGAGTGCACGGCACGAACAACGGTTCACGGCCCTTCATGGACAGCTTACCAATGTTGAGGGGATGGAAACCATCCACGTCCTTCTCGATGGAGATGGCGTTCAGGATTCGCTCTTCGTTGATGTGCTTGGGGAGAGGCAGCTGAACGAGGATTCCGTGGACTTCGGGGTTGGAGTTCAACTCTACCACCACCTTGAGCAGCTCATCCTATAGAATAAGGCTCCTATAAATAGCGAAAACCTCGGAGATCGTCTCGGGGAAAGTGTAGTCAAAGGGCTTAATTCCGTCCTTCACACACATTCGCTTCTTGTTACGCACATAAGTCTGCGAATCCTTTCTCTCTCCAACCAGGATTACAGCCAGACCGGGCATCTTTCCGGTCTCTTCCAACATCTTCTTGGTTTCCTGCTGGCATTCCTCATGAATGGCCTCCGCAACCTTCTTTCCATCGATAATCTTGTCGGACATACTTCAACAAAAGCAAAAGATAAGGAATCGGTTACCATTCCAACTCTGAAACTCCTAAATCACACAACTTGGGAAATGAGAATAATCACTGCAGACGAGACGGGACTTATCAAGCAAATTCTCATTGAGAACAAGCGCATTGTGGACTTTTTGAATGGCTGGTTATCATCTAGCAACGATGGGGAACACAAAGTCGAGACAACTCTGTAGAGAGAATGGTGTGGGCTGGTATGTCTGGTTGTGAGGAAAACGAGGTGGCTGTTGCCTTGGTGTATTTCCTTCTTTTTCATACGGTTATTTTGTAGCAATGGACGTGTCCAAGTGTGGGATGTCGACAAAACGGTTATCGTGAAGGAGTTTTCCGGAATTGAAGGCATTCCTCGTGGATTGGGAGTGATTCGAAACGAGGAGTTTTGCCAATGATTTATTTTGACCCTATAGAGACAGAAAAGTGATCACTTGTACCGATGACGGAAAAGTGAATCTCTACAACTGGAAAGACGCCGAAATCGTGAAAACGGTACCGTCTACCTTTCTCTTATTAATCTAGTTCGATGTAAAAGGTCCGATAGCGAACATGCATCTCTGCCCTTCGAATAACCAGAGTACTCCTTCTCTTGCCCTATTTTTGACATAGTCTTCGCTGTGGGTGGCCGCGAGAACGACCTAGCTCTCTACGACATCGAGACGGAAGAGCCCGTTTTCAAAGCTCGCAATGTTCCCAATGATTGGCTTCAACTCCGCGTCCCCATCTGGGTTACCGACATGAAAGTGTGTCTTCTCGCCCTCCTCTCTCCTAGTTCCTCCACCCCAAGAGCTCAGGATTCGAGTTAGCGGTAGTCACCGGACATCATCATGTCCGCCTCTACGACACGCGAGCGAAGCGTCGCCCTGTGCAGTCCGTGGAGATCGGTTCGCGCCCATTTACGTGCTGCACGGTGTCGCACGATGAAAACTCGCTGTTCACTGGAGACACGATCGGCCGTGTGAGCCGAATCGATCTGCGGACGATGCAGCTGAACGGAGTGTACAAGGGAAACACGGGAAGTGTGCGAGAAATCGCGCTGCACCCCACGATGGAGGTAATGGCGACGGTGGGATTGGATCGCGTGATGCGTGTGTTCGACGTCGCAACGAGACAGCAGCTTCACCGTGTGTATCTGAGACAGAAGCTGAACTGCGTTCTGGTGTCGAGTGAGGGAGAAGTGGCATCATTTACGAAGGAGGAAGAAGCGCCTGAGAGTGATTCAAGTTTACTGCAGGACGATGAAGACTTGATTGAGATGTCTGGAGAAGAGTAGAGTTTGTTAGTTTAGTTTGGAATTTGGTTTTGTTTAAGCAATAAACTGAAAGAAATACTCAACAGCATATAACGAACTGGATTATTTTTATATTTCTACTTTACATATTATGATTGATTTCCTTGTTGTTGATTTCGGAACAACAAAGCTGTGTGTCTCTGCGACTTGTAACACACAGAGAGCTTACATTGAGTTCGATGGGGAGGAAATAATCCCCAATGCCGTATTCTTTGACGACACTCTGCTCTTTGGAAAGATCGCATTATCTAAGGGAAGAAGTAAGCCGCAGTTTCTCTTGACGCATTTAAAGGAACTGATGGGCCTAAAGTTTGCTGATCCAGCAGTAAAAGAAATGCAAAATAAAATTTATCAAAAAATCGTGAAGGGAAGAAATGGCTTCTGTGCCTTGGAAATTCCGTTTGATACACCAAGAGTCTACGAGCCCTGTGATATTCTGTGTTGCTTTCTAAAATATATCAAAGAAAAAGCCCAAGATCAGCTACGGCAGCGACCGGAGGGAATCTTAATGGGTATTTCGCCCTCCTTCAATGAACTCCAGAAAGAGGCTTTGCGAATCACTATGCTAAATTCAGGTTTTAGGTATGTATCATTCCGCGAAGAAACGACTGCCGTGTGCGCTAGCTATGATATAAATCCTATTTCTGGTGGAAGTACTCCTATTTTAGTGGCCGATTGCGGAGGCGGTACTTTTGATGTCTCGGTTGTGATTGTCACCGGATCAACGATGGATGTAGTTATTATGAAAGGAAATCCAAGGCTTGGAGGGAAGGATTTCACCCAAGCGGTCTTGGAGGCTATCTACGAACAGATCAACACAATTGATCCGGATTTTGATCTTTCCAAGATAAGTTCCAAGAGCAAAATGATATTGAGGGACTTTGCAGAAAACCTGAAGATTTATCTTTCTACCAATGATCAATATGTAGCCGATATTAATGTAGATGGAAGGTATTTCACAATCAATATGTCCGTGTCGCAATTCAATTCTATTTGCAAACCACTCTTTAAGAAATGCGATGAAGTGGTCAAGAGTGCATTGGACGAAGCAGCAGAGAAGAACATCAAAATCCAATATCTCTGCTTGTCCGGATCCAGCTTCTTCATTCCAAAGCTCCAAAAACACATCACCAAACTCGTAAAGCTGGATGCAGAAAAGTCGGTTTTGCCCTCGCTAGCCGTCCTCGTGGGCCTTCGCTGCTTCGCCCTGTCGAATCAGTTCCAGAAGGAGATGGAAGGAGAATACAGGGAGCGCAACGCCGTGTTGTTTCGATCGTACATCGATCAGCATTACGACGGTCCCGACCACTCCCTGCTGGACCGCGAGATCTCCCCGCAGGAATTCGCAGAGATCGAGATCCCGCCGGATTTCGATATGGACGACACTCCCGATCCAAACGCAGGATTTCTCACCTCCGACCAAATCGAGGTCGACAAGGATTTGTCGTATCGCGTTCCTTCCTCGCTCAATCCTGCGTTCCCGAACTTAAACGACTCCATGTTGAACTTCTCCTCCGTCCATCTCTCCACCACGCCGCTCAATCTCATCACCACCAGCACCTACGATCTCTCGTTCCAAGGCCTGTTCCGCGGCGCGTCGGACCGCACTGTGCTGTACAAACACTCGTCCTATCGAGGAACGACGCAGAAGACGACGAAGATCATTCTGAAGCCGAAGAAATCGTACCGAGTCCTCTATCAAGGCAACAATCCGTTAGTGAAGGATCTAATCGCCATTAAGAAATACTATCTGCACTACGACGCTCAGCACTCCAAAGACAAACAGCACAAATGTCTGGTGACGTGTTTTGTCACCGACGACGGCACCATCGACATCAAGTTCTTCTGGGACGACACCAAAGAGCCCATTCGCTACGACGTCTTCGACGTTTCCGAGAGCGAGGCCTCCATCATCCAGCAGCAAAACCAAGCCAGCACGCGTCTCTACGAGATCTTCGACTCGGACGGCGTCAGTCTCTCCCACTCGCCTCGCCTTCACGATTCTTCTCCTCCTTCTCCTTCCTCCCGATCGCCGCGTTCTCACTTCCTCTCCACCATTCCCGAAACCGGAAGCGATTTCCTCAACCCCGGCTCTTCCCAGATGTCCATTCCTCTTCCTCCTCCTCCCTCTCCGCCCTCTCCTTCCTCCTTCCCCACCGGATTCGACTTCGCTCCCTCCACGCCCTTCGATTTCGACGCTCATCCCGTCCCCGACTTCGACGCCGACGCTGACCTCGACGCCGACGGGCTCCTTCCTCCGGAGCTCCCGCCCGTTCCCGCCTCCGACGGCGCTCCGGAGGACAGCATCTTTCGCTCCGGACCGGTCTCCTTCAGTCTTAGCAGCTCCTCGCTGCGGATGAGCGACATCCAGGACGTCGCCGGCGTCGCCGCCTTCGATCCCTCCAGCGTCCCTCGCCAGAACAACGCGCACCACTTCCACATTCAGCCCATGAATCCCGCCTCCGAGGTCCTGCAAGCCCCCAAGATTCCTGAGATTCCCGCGGTTCCTGAGGTTCCTGAGGTTCCTGAAATCCCCGAAATCCCCGAAATCCCCGCGATTCCCGAGGTCCCGAAAGCTCCGGAAATCCCGCGGATCCCGGAAATTCCGCCGCAGCCGCGCTTTGATTTCTCGGGGACGGCGAACTCGCTGGAGGGGAGCCAGGGAGAGGTGCGCTCGTTCGGAACGATCCCGCTGTTCGACACCGTGGAGGAGTACTGCGCGGTGATCAATCGGCTGAAGAGCCAGGTGCGGAAGTTGCTGGATGGACGATGCATGTTGAAGCAGGCGGACTTCTCAAGGCCGCTCGCGGAGATTAATCGGTGGCTGATGAGTCCGAAGAAACAAATATCGGATGCGGAGAAGATGCTAGTTAGCGTGAATTCGATCCTCTCCCAATTGGAGAAGTACTAGTTTTCGTGTATTATCAAGTAATGTGTTGTTGCTCTGCTACTCTGTTCTTGTTGTCAAACGCACTCGCTCTATCCCAAAGCAAATCAAAGCAAACATGATTCTCACAAACAACAACAATTCAATGCCTGCTGAATAACTATAAACAATACTTTAAAATCACGAGAAAAGAATTGGCCCCTCTCTCGACAAAAACGAAGCCTCATTACATAATCGAGCACTCTTGCTGATTCGACTGCCCTCCATAGCCTCTTTCATCCCGATAGTCTCCATATTCCTCATCCCTCGACTCCGATTCCTCGCTCATCCGTCGGTTCCGATTCGCCTCTGCAAACTGGCTCGGATCCACGTCCTCCATCGTCACCGTCTCCACCACATCCTCTTCCTGCCCTCCATTCCTCTCATATCCCAACGCCTCGCTCATCTTGGCAATCTGCGCCTCTTCGAGCGATTTCGGGAATTGCACTTCAAACCGCACATACAAATCGCCCTTCCGCTTCTGGTCCGACGGCATTCCCTCTCCGCTGACCACCTTCACCATTCCGGGCTATCTCTCAGCCTCTCTCCTCGCCTCCTACTTCGATAATCTTCCCCGCGGGACTCTCAATCTGCAGTTTCCGCTTATCCGGCATCTCGATCACGCGCGAAAACCCGCACAACGCCTCGGCGAGCGAGATCGACAGCGACATGAGAAGGTTTTCATCGCGCCGGATGAACGTGGAGGAGGGCTGCTCGCGGATTACAAACACCACGTCGCCTTCTTTTCCTCCCGCAAATTGGTCGCCGATTCCGCGCATGCGGATGGTTTCCCCGTCTAATGCGCCAAGTGGGATCTTGATTTCGCATTTCTGCGATTCGGTGATGATTCCTTCGCCTCGACAAGCCATGCATTGGTCTTTCTTCGCGATGTAGCGACCGCTGCCACGACATGTGGGACAGGTCGTTTGCGATTGCTGGACGAAGTTGCCGCGACGAATTGTTTTCACCTGGACACCGCGACCGCCGCAACGACGACAGGTCGAACTGCCATTGCCTTTGTTTCCACTACCGTTGCAGTTCTTGCAGACGACGTGGCGCTTAAATGAAACAGTACGCTTTGCGCCCGTGTAGAGCTCTTCTAGGGAACAGTTGACCTCTTGAACGATGTCCTCTGGCCTCGAGGATCCGCGGTTCGCCTTGCGACCTCGGCCCGATCGAGAGAACGGAAAACCATCCATTTCATCGTCAAAAGGATTGAAGGAAAAGAAGGAGCCAAAAACATCGAACGGATCAATGGACTCGTTCGCGCCATCTCCCATACCCTCCTTCAAACCCTCTTCTCCATACTGGTCGTAAATCTCCTTCTTCTCTGGGTCAGAAAGCACACTGTAGGCTTGAGAAACCTTCTTAAACTATGTGTAAGACGCATAAAAACAAGGAAACAATTTCAGCATCCCCACCATGGTCTGGGTGATACTTCAAAGCCATTTTCTTATATCCCTTTTTGATCTGCTCTTGTGTTGCATCCCTTGGAATGCCTAAAAGACCGTAATAGTCAGAATCGTCACATTGAGGTTTGTCACCAGAATTCTGATTCGTTTCTCCCTGTTGCTGACGATTTTCCCCAGAATTGTTCATAGTTCAAAGAATACTTTGACCAAAGCATGGAACGTTCTAGAAACCTCGGGTGTCAAACAAACGCAAATAAATGAATAAACAAGCAACCAAACCAATCCAATCTAATCCATTGCATTGCATTGTATTCCATTGCACTGTATTCCACTCATCAGCTTACTGACTGGGAGCATCATCGAATCCGTAAGGATGCTTTGTCTGCCAGTTCATCGCGTCTCTGCACATATCCTTCAAGGTCTTCACCGCCTCCCATCCCAGAACACGCTTCGCCTTGGACGCGTCCGCATAGCACACCGCGATGTCTCCTTCTCTGCGCGGCACGATCTTGTAGGGAATGGTCTTGCCGCAGGCTTCTTCCATCGCATGCAGCATCTCCAGCACCGAGTAGCCTCGGCCCGTTCCCAGATTAAACACTTCCGTTCCGCTCTTCATCGTTCCGAACATGTACTGAATGGCCTTCAAGTGTCCCTGCGCGAGATCATAGATGTGGATGTAATCGCGCACTCCCGTTCCGTCGGGCGTGTCATAGTCGTTTCCGAACACGCTCAGATAGGCTCGACGGCCGATAGCCACCTGCTGGATGTAGGGCATGAGGTTGTTGGGGATACCGTTCGGGCTCTCGCCGATCTCGCCGCTCTCATGCGCGCCCACCGGGTTGAAATACCGCAGCAGGATCACCGACCACTCCTTGTCCGCCGTCGCCAGGTCCGTCAGAACCTGCTCCATCATGTACTTCGTGCGGCCGTAGGGGTTCGCGATGCCCACACCCACGGGCGATTCCTCCGTGATCGGAACAGGGTCAGCACCGTACACCGTCGCAGACGACGAGAAGATGATCTTCTTGCAGTTGAACTTGTTCATCGTTTCTAAAAGATTGAAAGTACCCGTCAGATTGTTCTGATAGTAGCGGAGAGGCATCTTCCATGACTCACCCACAGACTTCAGGGCACCGAAATGGATCACAGCGTCGAACGGACCACGCTTCTCAAACACCGCCTCGATAGACGCCTTATCGTTCAGATCGGCCTACACGCTCAAATCCAATTCGACAAGCGTACCTCCATCAAGTACAGACGATCCTCGTCAACCCCAGCGAGTTTCTTGGTGGCCTCGTATGCCTTCGGGCTAACACTCAGGAAACCTACTCAAAGCCTACCTAGAATTACAGAAATTATCCAATAAAGTGAGCTTGTAACCCTCCTTTAACAATTCGATAGCAGTATGAGTAGCAATGTATCCAGTTCCTCCTAACGATCAAGCAAACCCCAGCACGCCTATACCGGTTAAAAGAATATGTTCAGGCATTTCAAATCGAAACAATCACTAAATAAAAAGAATATGATCCGAACCTTTGGGTAGAAAAAACGACCCTGGGGGATTTCTCTACCTCTCTTTCGTAGTATTTCCGACAATGCAAATTGCTGCAGTTTGATCCAACAAACAATTCCTAAAGGATGTAGGGGGCATTCGCAAATAAACGATCGCAAATAAGCGTTCCGTAACCAGGGTAGAAATAAGTACCAATGCTTGCGCCCACTGCCTCGGCCACGATCGCAGCGACACACACCAGCAAATTTCTCATTGTCCGTTTCGTAAAAGAGCAAACGGTAATCTCGCCATCTCCACGCTTCCGAGCCAAACGACGCGTTGGCTGATCTTCCAATCTTTTGGGTTGATTTCTTCTGTAGTGCTGGTAGACCCACGACACGATCAGCACCATTTCATTGAATACAAACATGGAGATGTGATAAGCAAAGCTACAACGCAAAGACGTCCAGAACATCGCGGAGGAAGCCTCCGGACGGCTCATTCGCTTGTCCTTGTTGAGAGAACTTTGCCGCACGCTCTTAAACATCTTCTTGCTAAAATGGGCATCTGTAGAGTTCACTACCAAATGCTCAATCACTCGCTCTGTTGTGCTGATTGAAATGTCTCGGATGATGAAATACTTGCTGTATTCCAAAATGGACTTTTGTGTCTCTCTATCTTTCAAAATTTTAGGAAAACGGGTACTTTTTCGAGATATCGAAATCCTCCTTATCATCCAAAACTTGGAAAGCGAAACCAATAGGAATGGACTTCAATACCGTTATCGCCATGCGAGAAGGTAGAAACGCATAATAGAGAGGCTTCAGTTCAGGATAATCAGACAACATGCGAGAGAAAAAAGTGGTGAAACAAACAAGGAAAGCAAAAATGTATCAATCTAATTTACAGTTTTATATAGAGAGAGAATTCCAATTCCAATTCCAATTCCAATATGAATTTTAATAAGCCTGGGATGGCTCAGCGTCCTCCTTATCCTCCTTCTCATCCTCGCTGTCGTCCTCCTCTCCTTCCTTCTTATCGGGAAGCAGCTCCGAGTGCACGAACGGAATCACACCTCCAGAAGCAATCGTCACGTTGCCGAACAGCGCGTTCAACTCTTCATCATTGCGCACAGCCAACTGAATGTGGCGGGGAACCACACGGTTCTTCTTGCTGTCCTGAGCAGCGTTTCCAGCCAACTCCAGAATTTCAGCAGTCAAGTACTCAATCACAGCAGCCAGGTACACGGGAGCTCCAGCGCCAATACGATCAGCCACTCTCATGTCTCTCATGTAACGAGCCATACGACCCACAGGGAACGTGATTCCAGCACGAGCAGAACGACTCATCGTCTTTCCTTCCACATTTCCACGACCTCCCTTGCCTTTTCCTTTGCCAGACATGTTTTCAAAATCAGCGAATATCCGAACTGAAACAATAAGTGATAGTTCAGGCAAAATCGGCAACAAGAAGCAATGATCAAAAACAAGATTTTGATGACCCAATGAATTTCGAGAAACAAGAATAGCCGGATTTTGTTTTTGGCGGGCGATTTTTGTTTTATTGGCTGAACCAGATTGAGATTCAGTGCGCGGGAGTGATTGGTTGAATGGATAGGATCGTCCAATGAACAGTGCGAACGAGTTGGATAATAGAAACGCCCATCGAATTTTGGCGGTTATTTGACAGCACTATTTCTTTGAAGAGAGAGTGGGAGTGTCAATTTAAATATAATAAGTAGATATGGCAAAAACACCGAGCAAGAGTGCGAAGGGAGCGAAAGCGAAGGGAGATTTTTCCCATCGTAAGCGCAGAAGATTGGAGACGTATTCATCGTACATCTACCGTGTGCTGAAGCAGGTGCACCCTGATGTGGGTATTAGCAAGCGTGCTATGGCGATTATGAACTCTTTCGTGAACGATATCTTCGAGCGTCTTTCGGATGAGGCGATCAATCTGGCTCGTTACAACAATAAAGCTACACTGACTGGAGCTGAGATCCAGACTGCTGTTCGTTTGTTACTTCCTGGAGAACTGGCGAAGCACGCTATGTCTGAGGGAAGCAAGTCTATTTCCAAGTATTCTACCATTGGAGGTGTCGAGTAATTCTAATTACTATGTTGAGAGTGTTTGTTTATGGAAAACAGCTTTAGTATTACTTTCCTAAAAGCTTCGGATCAACGTACAGAACTCCATTTTTGAATTTTCCTGGCTGAGAAAACAGGCTTTCTTGGCGAGGCTCCTTTCGCTTCCTTTCTTTGTGCTTCACTGGGGTTACGATCTGGTTTACCTTTTCCTACAGATTACTTTGAAATAGAGCGATAACAAATCGCCGTTTCTGCTTTTCTTTCCTCTCTTGCGTTTCTTTCACCCTCAGAATATGTTTCAATGGAATTTTCCCTTTTTGCTTCCTCTATTCATCATTCAACTTTAGAGATACTACGATTGCACCAATCTTGTCCAATTCGTAATCATTCTTCTGTTTTCTCGATAGTGCGGACTTTGCTAGCGAATAACAATGAATCCAAAGGTTTTACAAAACTCGATGATTTCCTGGTAATGATCTTTTACATTGAATCCGGGAGTGTCCTTTCTCGGCTTTTTATCACTCTATTCATGAAATCAAACCAAACTATGCTACTTTTTCTTTTTGCCTTGTTTCTGGCTTATAATTTCGATATTGAGCTTCTGGGTCCTCAAATACGATAACCTGAGGCTCCTTGCGCTTTTTCTGTGGAGCCATACACAATTATGATCAAACAAACAAACAAGCAAGCAAGCAAACTTAGAATCAACTATTCGTGATTCATTTCTAAGAGTATTTTGCCAAATATTTTCTTTCCTTTCATCATATTTAAAGCTTCGTTGGCACTTTCGAGGGGGTAAACTTTGAAAAGGTGTGGATGGAGTTGTTTCGTGGTATACAATTCACAGAGAGAATCAATACACTATTTCGCAAGCGATGCAATACGATTACCTTCTGAACTACTTCAGGACGATTCTTCAAATACCCTCCAAGATAGATTCCCAGAGCGCTGCAGTTCTTTACAAGCAAGTGATTCGCAGGTATTTGCTGAATCGACCCGCCAGAAAAGCCAACAACAACAAGACCTATCCGTAAAGGAAACGTTTCTAGAAGATAGCACGGATATGTGCTCCAAATCGAACAGAGCGAAGCAAATTCTTGTTAAACATAGATTCCGTTCCCACAGTATCGAAAACGACGTCACTTCCTCCCTATCCAAATGAGGAGCAAAACAAAACACAACGTAACGACTCTTTATACAATCACGAAAATCAATAGTGTCTTCTGAATCAATGATAATGTAGTCCTCATTGGGGTAAGAATCACGCAGCAAATTGTTCAAGAATTCCTTTTGCTGTTGACCACGGACTACACATACAGTCTACCTTCAAATTAGCGTCCCAACAGCATACAGGATGATGGCGTGATAATGACAACTCCGTAGCGGCAAGACCTGTTCCTCCCGCAGCTCCTGTGACCGTAACTACTTCTCCTTCACTCATCTTTGCTGCCACTTCAAGTCCTAGGGAAGCTGTGCAGAAGTTAATTCCAAGAGACGTAATAGCATTGAGGGGAATATGCTACAGTTCAGTAAATCAGTATGGTAGCGAACTTGTGGAACGAGGAAACAACGGGACTCATCCACAACACATTCCTCCGCAAAAGCTCCGTTAGCAGAAAAAATACAATAAACACGATCTCCCACTTGTCGAGAGGAGCAGCCATTACATTCAACAATCTGTCCAGATACCTCAAGACCGGGAGAAAACGGTGGCTTTGATTTCTCTTGATACTTGCCTTGACAGGCAAGTAGATCTAATGATAGTATTGCGGATATAGTGGATACCAGCGTAGTTAATCCCTGCAAACCGAGTTCGGATTCTAACTTGCCCTTTTTGTAATGATCTTGATTTTTGAGAAGTTAGTACGAGAGGACAATCATATGCAATACAATCCATGGAATTCTAGATATCACATTTGTGAATAGTGAATAACATAGAATCGACATAGCTGGATGTAAGGAACATGACGATTGTATTTCAACAAACGAAACATAGTTGCGAAAAATGATTTAAATACTGGTCGTGCGTTTCAGCACCTTCAATTTCTTGTCGGCAGGCTGTTCAGCATTCCGACTTCGATAAATAAAGTATCCCATAGCCACCACTGCAACCACTGCCACCACCGCGATGACCATCATGACAATTCCAAAAACAGAAGGTTTCGATGCATTGTTTCCATTCTCATCGCCTGCTCTAGCTGTAGCAGTAAACAGATTGTTATAGATGGCGCTAATGATCGGGTTTCCGTTATAGAATTCGTCATTGTCCACAGCCCAGATCATAGCTCCCAGCAATCCTTGCTCCTTGATGTAGTCAACCTTCTTCACAATGGAATAGGGATCTTCATAAGAGTACCATTGATCTCCTTTCTGCACATACATCGTTGTCGTTGCTTCGTCATAAGTCACCTGGCCTCCTGAAGCGATGACCGTTAGCGCTTCAATATAGTTGAGCACACCCTCTTGCTGTGTGTCTTTCATGGGTTCACATCCTCGAATTGCTTCTGCGCCAATTCCCTGACCAGGAGCACTACTAGCAAGTGTCCAGCCTCGTCCATAGGCAGCCAATCCCATGACGATCTTGTTTCGAGGCATTCCTTTCGCAATCCAGGTCTGGATGGCATAGTCTCCCGTGTAGTACTCTTCCAACGTTCCCGGCTCGTAGTTGGAAGGAGGATACAAACCGCTCGCTGCTCCTGTCTTCATCTCCCACTGTCCATGAAGATCATAAGCCATCACATCCACAAAATCAACCTCATTCACCAGATTCGGAACATCGTATCCAGCTTCTACCTTATCATATCCAGCAGCAACCGCGAGAACCAGTAGCAATCGCGGCCTTCCCGTACGGACAGCCTCCGCTTCAATCGCTGCTCTCAATTCCCGAATGAAGTATACATAGTTTTCATAATCTTGGGGTCTTCCTCCCAAGGGTTCATTGGCTGGGTATTCCCAATCGATATCAATTCCGTCAAATTCATGCTTTCGCACCCAGCTAATGATGGAACTAATACACTTTGCTCGGTTTTCAGCCGATTCGGCCATCGTTGTGAAGATATCTTTGTATTCATCCTTGAAGTTGAAATTCCATCCTCCGAAAGCCAATAACGTTTTGCAAGAGGGATTTCTGGAGTGAACGTGTCTGTTGAATCGGTAGTAGAGACCTTGTGTTGGCTGCCATTCATTCACATCATTCCATTCCACTTGCTCCACCTCCCAGGTTCCTCGTTTGATGTAAGCAAAAGCATAAACAAGATGTGTAAACTTGGTGGGATCGATATTTTCAGGGAAGTACTGGGAAGTTCCAGCTCGATACTGCGACCAATTTGTGTAGTAACCCAAAAACACGCGATTGGATGGTGGAGTCGTGGGTGAAGTTGTGGGAGCTGTAGTGGGTTTAGAGGTAGGTGGTGAAGTCGTAGGAGCTGTAGTAGGTTTAGAGGTAGGTGGTGAAGTCGTAGGAGCCGAAGTAGGAGCCGAAGTAGGGCAAACTCCGCAATCTTCAGGACAATTCCAGCAATTTTCATTTTCGTCGCATATTCCATTCCCACAATACGCTCCTGGAGCAATATCACAGCTGATTCCCTTGCAAACATCAGCATTCTTATCGACAATTTTCCCATCGTAGCACAGTCCTCCATCCAAAACAGCATAAACAGGAGATGTTTCTCCATACACACACTGACGAACAAAGCCGCAGCAGTTGTGAGGATAGCAAATAAAACCGATATCATTCGGACCGCATTCTTCAAGTTCGGGCTGGGATGGATCTGTGTTACAAGGTCCACAATCTTCAGGACAGCTGCTACAACTCTCATATATCTCACAAACGCCATCTCCGCAAGAAGCAGGAATCATATCGGGACAACTGACACCCTTGCAGCGCGCATCGCTTGCCTCAATCACTGATCCTTGGTAGCAAACAGAGGTAGGCGGAAGCTCCATCGGTCCATACATCTTACCACTGTTGCAAACGAACAAGAGTCCACAGCAATCATCCGGATAGCAGTGGACTCCGTTGGCTAATCCCATGCAAGAAGGGGCAGGCAGTTCCATTTCTGGATAACTCTTACAGTCTTGGGGACAATTGAATACTGTCTCTCCTTCATCGCATTTACCATCTCCACAACTTGCCAGTGGTGAGTAATAGTCAGATACTATGTTACTTCTCCTATACTCCTCATTCCAAACCCAATCCCTCAGCGACCTATACAGGTTTGGTGTTGTACGATTGATCCATGGATGCTGTGACATTGACGAGTCATCCTTTTTGGAGGATCCCTTGGTTGCCAAACTGATCTGAAGAAGCAGCAACAAAATAGCAAAAATGCTAATACTATTATTACAATTAGAATATTTCATATTCAAAAAAATAATGAGAAGGCCGGATCATTGACGCAACACGAAATGGATGTTCGTGTCTGAAACGCCTCCATGGGATATACATCCGCCTCCATCCCTTTCCTTCCTTTCTCGTAACAAACACGGATATGGAAAATTCAAATACACTACAGAGATTAAGCGTTCTCCCCGAGCTCCTGTCCGTGCTCCATCTCCATCTCCTGGGGGACTTCCTCGTCGCCATAGGCCACTTCGTCCTCGACCGACGCCTCCTGGTACTGCTGATACTCGGTGATGAGGTCCGCGAGGTTGCTGGAAGCCTCGGTGAACTCCATCTCGTCCATTCCCTCGCTGGTGAACCAGTGCAGATAGGCACGTCGTCGGAACATGGTCTCGAACTGCTCGGAGACGCGCGCGAACACTTCCTGGATGGCCGTGTTGTTGCCCAGGAACGTCGTCGCCATCGGCGACCCCGCGGGGGCCACGCTGCTCACGCTCGTCGTGATGTTGTTCGGGATCCACTCCACGAAGTACGGCGCGTAGCGCTGGTGGATCTCGCGCATGCACTCGTCCACGTCGCGCGTCGCCACCTTGCCGCGGAAGATCGCCGCCGCGGTCAGATAGCGGCCGCGGCGCGGGTCGCAGGCGCACATCATGTTCTTCGAGTCGAACTGCTGCGAGGTCAGCTCCGCCACCGTGTACTGCCGGAACGCGCTGTTCGCGCTGTTCGTCAGCGGCGCGTAGCCCGTCAGGAAGAAGTGCAGACGCGGGAACGGAATCAGGTTCACCGCCAGCTTCCGCAGATCGCTGTTCAGCTGACCGGGGTACCGCAGACACGCCGTGATCCCCGACATCGCGCGCGAGACCAGCTCGTTCATGTCCGCGAACGACGGCGTCTTGATGTTCAGCGACTGCGAGCAGATCTGGTACAGCGCCTCGTTGTCCAGAACCACCACCTCGTCCACGTTCTCCAGCAGCTGGTTCACAGACAGCGTCGTGTTGTACGGCTCCGTCACCGTGTCCGACACGTTCGCAGACGGGAACACCGAGTACGACATCACCATGCGGTCAGGGAACTCCTCCTTGATCTTCGACAGCAGCAGCGTGCCCATACCCGAACCCGTGCCTCCTCCAAGAGAGTGCGTCAGCTGGAAGCCCTGCAGGCATTCGCACGCCTCCGCTTCGCGACGGAGAACATCCATCACTTGGTCCACCAGCTCGGCTCCCTCCGTGTAGTGACCCTTCGCCCAGTTGTTGCCAGCGCCGTTCTGGGCAAAGACGAAATTGTCAGGCTTGAACAGCTGACCCACTTCAGTGGAGCGAATAGCATCCATCGTTCCGGGTTCCCTAAAATTAAGAGGGAGGGAGAGACAAATACAAATCGATAAGCAGAGCACGAGGAACAAAGCGACCATTCAAAGCTTGGCTGTAAAACACGTTCAAGTCCTCGTTTGGCTCGACTTTCGTCTGACCCATGCTGTCGATATGATGTTCCTTGTTGATAACCTCCCAGAACTTGGTACCGATCTATCTTATCAAAAACACACAAACGCCCTCTCACCTGGTTACCACACTGACCCACTTGAAGATGGATAATTTCTCTCATATTCTGATATCAGAAAATAGATAATATGGATTTTGCTGAACTAAATGGATGAAACTCCCCAAAATATAAATATGCTAATATTGACGACAACGAGATAGCTCTTCTATTTCGAAACATTAAATCAGTTAGAATTATCATATCACAGTACCTCTCATTTCCATTGAAAAGGTCTCATAATTGTGTTTCTGACATGGCGAATACTGAGGAAAAACCAAAATATGAAACAAGATGGCAATATTGGTCACTCGTAATAATGATTTACACGTGCCTTGTGGCTATGGGAGTCGTGGAGAATGCTCGAAGTGTTACGTTTCCTCTTATCAAGGACGCGTTCAATGTACCTTATGATATATACGGGTTATTTAATTCCTGGCTAGGCGTTGGGTACATTCTGTTCTGCCTAATAGCTTCCTTTATTGCTGAATGGGTAAGCTACAAGACGATTATTATGATAGGGTATATATTGCTTGTTGCAGGATGTCTCTTGACTCATTTCGCATCTTCCTTCTTTTTAGCGGCGCTGATTATTTTTATGATTTGGATGGGATTTGGGTTTTTTGAAATCGGGTCAAACGCGTCTTCAACACTGGTATTTATTGAGCATCAAGGAACAATGATGAGTTTGATGCACTTCTTTTTCGGTCTTGGCGCTGTTGTCGGTCCAAACGTTGCAAAATGGAGTTTAAGTGTGCTAAAGAACAGTTTTTATTCCGTTTATCTTTGCTTGGGCGCGATTGTCGCTGTACTAGGCATATTTTCCTTATTTCTTCCTTTCAAGCTACCTACAACCACCAACGTTCATACCGATGGAGGTGTCACGATGAGTGTTGGGAGAGCCCTACTGACGCCTTCTGTGTGGCTGTGCTCACTCACAATGGCGATGGGTCAAGCAATCGAAGCTTCTGGAGCTAGTTGGGCACCCCTCTATTTGGTGGATGTTTTAAACATGGATATTGATACGGATGTAGCGAATTTCTCTACATGGCTCTATGTTGTCTTCACGCTCTCTCGGTTGTTCTCCGGATTCCTCATCGATAAAATTGGGTATTATGCATCGCTCTATATTTCCTACATCTCCTGCTTTGTTTTGTTGTTGATTGGCTTTTTCCTGGGTCGAAATGGCATTGTGTTCTTCGTTCTCACTGGGTTCTTTTACAGTGCGAACTGGCCAATATTCATTTGTGTTATTATGGGTTATTACAAGGTGAATGCCCCTGTAGTTACTTCCGTTGTAATTGTTTTACAAGGAGTCATTAACTTGCCAATCACATATTTACTTGGAGTTTTAAACGAGTATGTAAGCAAGGCAGCTGCTTATCAAATGACACTGGCTTTTTGTGTTTTGGGATCGATTCTCTTAACATGTGTCTATTACTCTCAGAAGAGATTTGAAAAGCAATTAAAGGTTGTGGATCCTAAGGATGCTTCTCCAAAGAAGGAGGAAGACAATTTACAAGTCTGAATTGCTTTCAGGGAAGCTACTTTACTCTTGTTGGTGATTATTGTTTGTTTTTCAAATACTCTAATCTATTGGTTTCAGTTCGTAGGTAGATGACAATAACACATGTTAATGGATAAATGTACCAACTCAGTTAGGTAGCACTGTTACCATTCTCTTTTTGCTATTTAGAATGTTGTAGAACAATGCTGTCCAACTTGGTTTATCATTCTGAGAATTAAATGTTCTTTTATTATCCAGTGTTTGTGTATAGACTACATTTATACGAATCATCGATGAAATCCATGTGTATCCTTATTATTAGCAATGTTAATGGGAAATAAAGCAAATCTCTTGAATTTATTATTTTTAATTCTTAGAATATATAGTGGCTTGCTGAAATGTGAAAAGAATAACAATCAGTTTAGAATGAACAGCAATAAGTAACACTCTTATTCATTATTATCCAAAATTAAGCTATAATGAGATTTTAAAAATGTGATTGAAATAATGTTCGCAAACAACGAAAAATGTTACAACCCGGAATCTTTAACAAATCAGAAGAAATATTGGAATTACATAATTTATAACCAATCCGTGGATAATGGTTGTTTTCGATCAAAGTATGCAATAATGTATATATAAAATAATAGATATAACCAATAAAGACGTAGAAAATAGATATTTACTGAGTGAATATGTGTCAGGCGCAAAGAAGAAAGTAATTGTCAATAATGAAGAGTATGAAGTCCAATTGTTTCAAGGAGAACACGAAAATGAGTATCTAGTCAGTGAACTGAAAGATGGCAAAATTGAAGGTCGTTGTCAGTTATTCGACCGAGGAATATTGTCATTGGCGTGGACAGTGAAAAATGGCAAACGAACTGGAGATGTATCCTTGTACAATAAGGGAAAGGCTGTACAGAGGGAAAACTGGGATTCTTTCTTTGGAGAGTTTGAAAGAAGAGTCATAGAGAATAGTAAAGCAGGCTTGATCATGACAGTTCGTCGTAGACAAGATAATGACGAAACTGTGATATATCGCGGAGAATTTGATGGTGATTTGAATCGCAGTGGAAGGGGTATAGAGTATGACCTGGATAGCGGCAAAGAGAAGATAGAAGGATACTGGATAAAAGACAAGTTGGCTCGTATCGTCAGAGAGTTTAGAGACGCCAATGATATGATTGAATACATGGAGTGCAGTGACAAGAATACTTTTTACCGAATTCCCGTGTATATTGGAGGATACTGTGTCGAAGATAATACGTTTTTGAGAAACGGTGTGGGATACATGATCGATGAATCGAGCGGGACAGCTGTACGAGAAAGTGTGTGGGATCATGGTACTGAGATCGAGTCTTGTGAATTACATGATGGTTGGTATGTAAAAGGAATGAACGAAAGCATGCGAAGCATTTTAAACACAAATGATAGAGAAGAGAGTATAGATGACATGGAAAACATGAATGTTACAGAAACTCTCACTGTAACCAATGATGATGCTTTTAGGGAACTATTTACCTCTGATATTTGCATCGAAAATCTAGTAGTTGTATCAACAGTTTGTAAAGATTTAAATACTATCGATTTCAATCAACTTAAGTGGCTCAAAGTGATCAATATTGGTGATGAGTGTTTTATGAATGTGAACTCATTCAAAATTGCAGGCTTGAAGAGGTTAAAGAGTTTGAAAATAGGCAGAAACTCTTTTACGAAGAATAAGAATTGGTATGGAGCGTTCAGTGAAAAATCATTTTCAATTGTTAATTGTTTTTCTTTACAATCCATTGAAATTGGGGAATATAGCTTTTCTGATTATTCTGGACTGTTTGAATTGAGAAATCTTCCGGCACTGCAAACGCTTCAAATTGGATGTTTGGATAAGTGGTCCAACAATTTTTACAGAGCATCGCTAAAGATAAAAGGTATTCTTTAATCGTTGATTTGAGGGTAGATCTCGAAAATCTACAGGACATTACTGTGGGTGACTTCTCTTTTTGCGAATCATCTCATGTTTCTTTTATAAGTACACTTTTATGCTCCTGCTTTCTCATATAGATTTGCCGAAGTTAAAGACAATGAATATTGGCTATGCTGCTTTTTCTGGACCTGCTGGAGATGTTAATAGTACATTAGAAATGACGAGTACACCTTCTTGAGACACAGTACTCTGTAGATTTGACTGAATTATGTACGCTATTTACAACGGAGAGAAGCTTCCTGTACTTTCAATCTGTAACTCTGATAAGTACGATTGTGTGGGAATCATTACGAATAGATATTCCTAATATCAAGGATTTTGATCTGCTTTTTTCTTTTGAAAATGTTAGGAATCAAACTGTAAAGAGTAAAAATGAATGGTTGCGTATTATCTACAGATGTTTCTTCTCCGTTGGCTGACTTTTTGGAAACAAGATATATGTGGAAAAGGATTTCACTTTGATTTGTATTATCGCATTGTACGTGAACAAGGTGGAGTTCATTTTGCTTGGAAATGGAGATGCTGTACACACCCTTATGAAATAAACAAACCATGTCATCTTTCTTTGCAGTGTATTTGAATGGTAATTGCGTCATATAGAAAGGGATTGTAACGATTTTTGAAATGTGACCAAGTTTCGCTTAAAGCTTTGACCCGAAATCTCAAAAAAAACAATATAATCGCACAGAGACCCCAGAAAATGGATCAATGCTACAACCACCTAATTCATGCAATTCCATTACGAATGTCTATCATCCACAAACAAGCGAAAAAACTAAAATAATTAAACCTTGGACTGCTTCTTCTTTTCCGCAGCTCCACCCTTCACTCCCTTAACAGCCTTCTTTCTCTTGAGGAGCTTGGTAATCAAAACTATTAAAACGACCAGGATGATCACAACGACCACCACAACCACGACAATAATCAGGTAGGAGACGCACACACCGCTCACTTCTCTCCATACTCCGTCCTTCTCGCCAAGCACGCAAACACGCTTCTGGGTTCCGAAATAGCTTCCCTGCACCTTGCAATCGTAAACCGCAATGGTGTCGACAGGGGTCTTCGGCCACACGCCATCCGCTAAGCACTCGCCGATTCGCACGGAGATCGAGATCTCCACACTGCCCACTCCCGAGGGGTTCTGGCCCATGATCGTGAATGTCTTCAGCTCGGTAACGTTCGTGGGAGTTCCGTAAATCACTCCAGTGGCATTGTCAAGCTTCAGTCCCTCGGGAAGCACCGCGTTGTTCTCCACATACCAGTTCATAACAATGTTGTCGTAGGTGGGTCTGTCCGTCTCCACAGGAATGTCACGCACGAACGTGTAGCGCGTGGACTGGTAGCGGATGTTCTCAGGCGCCAAGTAGCTGCAATTGTCCATTCTCACTTCACCCAAGACACCTCCAGAGCACTCGCGGTACGAAAAGCCGGTCATTCCCTCGCCACACACAGAGGGGGAGATCTGGCCCTCGACCACCGAAGGGAACTCGTCATCGCCAGGACACACCTCGCCGTTGGTCTTGCAATACATCATAATGATCTCCGTCAGGGACGGAATCGTTCCAGCGCCAGGAAGAACGTCCAGCTGCCAGCGGAAAGAAGTAAACTTCATTAATCCCGCAGGAACATCGTAGTAGGTACGGACGCGCGATTTCGTAGACTCACTAAACACCTCGTGGATCTTAATGGACTGCGACTGGACCGTTCCGAAAAGAGAGAAGCCCCAGTTCGACGTGGTGGAGCTCGACAGAAGTCCATAGCTATTGATGCGACTTCCCTCCAAGTTCTCGACCTCCCATGAAATGTAAGGAGTATCGGCCGAACTGAGCTGAGACGTGGTGAGCGGAGACAGATCGAAGAGATTATCGATGTTTCCAGACGAGAACTCGGTCGAGCTGGTGGTCAGGAAGGAATCGCGGACAATCGAGCAGTCATTCACACCAAACACTCCGGTGGCATAGAATGCCACAGGAACAGCGGTGGAAGTGTCAACCGCTCTGTGAATTTCGAAGGCGATCACATTATCGGTGGTTGACAGTTCTACCATATTGAGGATCACGTGGAAGAACGTGGGCTTCGAAGCATCGTGCTCACTCAAGGCCTCCGTAGAAGCCGTCACTTCAGAGGGCAAGTTAAATCGAGCCACTTTGTGGCCATTGATGTAAGCCACCACACCTCCACCGAACTTCACCAGCACATTGAGGACTTGGTAATCGTTCACCGATGGAACCGTGAAGTGATGACGAAGATAGACCGCAACGTTGGGAACCGTGCCGATCTCGCCTGCTTTCTTCTCCTCCCACGCTTCGTCGTTGTAGTCGCGGCTCGTCCAGTCATCGGTGACTTCGCCCGTCTGCACCTTCCAATTCGTGAAGTCGTTCTGGAACGGGAGATACGAAGAGAAGATGACGGACTTGCTGGATTTATCCATCTGATCCACTTCGAATCTGAACTCGCCAACGTCCACAGAGAACATCATACCTGCAGGAGCATACCATCCATCACCCCATTTATCCTTCAGAACCATCGTGTACAAATCGTTGTCGAGACAGAAATCGAAGTAGACGAGCGTAGAAGATTGGGTAAACTCGCTCAGCTCTGAGACAGTAGCTCCACTCGTATCACGGCCACGATACAAATAATAGCTGCCTTCTTTGGGAGAGAAGTCAGTTCGCACCGTCATGGTGATCAAGGAGTGTTCTCCCGTGCAATAACCCACGGTCAAATGCAAAACGAACTCGGACGATCCTCCAGTAATCTTCGTGGCCGAAATGGTGTAGGTTCCCGTCATGGGGCTGGTCGCCGTGCCAGATATCATACCCGTCGACTCATCCAACACAATGCCTTCCGGGAGACTGGGGTTCACAGTGAACTGAGAATAGTATTCACTCGATGGGTAGACTTCCGCCATCTCCACATTGACAAAAATCTCAACAGGGTCCGGATAGCTTAACGCAGGGATGTCGGAGTCAATCGACTTAATTCGTAGGTCCAGCATGCTAATCTTCCAAGTCGTGGATTCCGTTGACTTGATTGTTCT